CGTTGTTTTCGTATTCCAAAATAACCAATATAATCACTATTGATAGGTGGATTTTTTTGTTGAATACCTTATTATGTTATTCTAAAGGTATTAAACTATGTATTGAACTGAATGAGAATGTAAGTATTTTTACAAACCATTATGTATATGGACACTCTCTTACAATATGGTCTGTGAACATTGCTACCTTGAAATGTGTGGGGCAGATATCGGTCGTTCCCAGGCTTGGTTTGGACAATGAAAATAACCCATCAGATAGGAATCGCATCAAGAGAAAAAAGCTGTATAAACGTTTCTGGTCATTGGAGGAAAACTTAGGAGCGTGGCAAAGACCAGAATACGTCGCGAAGAAAAGGGCGATGACACCTGGACACAGGAATCATCCGAATGTAATTTTCCTAAGACAGATAATGCCTGATTGCATTACAAAGGTACATCGACTTTTCGGATTATCATCTTTGGAAAATTCACATAATTTACACTGTTAAAATAGATATGTTACGACAGATTTATACATTTATGTGTCTCTCAGATTATCGGCAAATGGACGTTCATCATTTTGGTACTGGTTAGAGGGCCGCACATACACGTAACATGTAAGAGAGGTATTTATTTTCCAGTTGGTGAGGACGAGCTACCCAAATGTGGAGGGGGTGCCATATCAAGGTCGCAAATGGCAGTGAAGAACTGGGGATCCATATACAATATAAATAAACATTGACAAAGCTATAATTATTTATTTCTATTCAATTCAGAAAAGGTTTTGTTCATATTGTGAATAAAATATTGAAGTTGTATTACCAAAAATAAACATAAGACTCTGCTATTGTGCCTGTGAAACATATAACACTACATACAATTTTTGAATGTATTTCTGGGTACATAATATTGTATTTTTGTAATCTAAACCAGATACAAAGTACCCAGTCAAACAAACATATATATCACAGTTAATAAAAACATTTTTATCTATGTTCAACCTATTTATATATTTTCTCTGGACGTTTGTTTACGAATAAAAACAATTTATCTATGCTTCCAGGTAACTAATCCAAATCTTTTCCAAATACTGAAATGTTTTCTTTGATTGATATTTTCGCCCACTGTTTTCTCTTGGAGTTCCCTCGTTTTGAGGAACAACCGCTCTCTTGAATGGTCGATTAACATTTTCATTCCAACGCAAAATAAATAAATCAACCCTGACTTGAAATGACGTATCACCAAAGGAATGCCTTTTGGGCAGAAAAGAACGCAAAGCATTGTTTGCCGCTTCAACGTAACTTGTGCTAAGTCCTTCTAGTACGAGATGCGGATTTTTGTATATTGAAGTGTCATGGACAAATTTCGATAAGAGGTCAATTGCAATTGGATCAGTAAGTAGCACACGAGATGGGGCATATCTTGGGTTTCTTACACAATGGCTCGTAAGCCTGCAACTTTCGTGGTATCCTTGGTAATGTGACACGATCGCATCTAGACTGTCTCGTAGTAGAGTCTCATCATTTCCTGAGTGCATGATGGAGTACCATATGTGATTTTTAATTCCATCATATTTATCAAATAGCTGACCATGCCAACATATATTTTCAGTTTTCTTTGTCCCTTTCGAAATTTTTTTGAAAGATGACATAACATTTTTAATCACATGCCAAACGTCTTTTTGTTCCTTTACTTCTGGAAAATCGTCTTTTACGACCTTGCTCACGCTATTGTTAGAATCGTGCACGATGCAACGAACTTTAATTCCTTCCTGTTTGAAATCATTTAGAATTTCCTTTGTTGCAATTGTTTCATGTCGTTGGACAGAACTGTCATCGTGATTTGTTGATTTCACCTTATCTGCCAATACAGTATGCGTTTCGTTGCAAAGGCCAAATGTTATACTCCTCTTGGCATTGCGGAATGCAGAAAAACACGCATCGGTTTCCATGGTTATCCCAGACGCCCCACTGCCTGCTAAACTATTTTGTATCGCTCTTTCTTTAGACGCTTTGGCTTCGTTGGATATAATCGTAGATAAACGATTGCATGTTTCATTATAAACACGCTCGTTCGTGCTTCCTAATGTAGTAGCATTTAAAAATCTGGTGAATGGAGTATACATAAGTCCACTACAAACTACACCAAAAGCCATTTTCTCGTTCACGAAAAATTTTGACCAACCTTCGATATAAGGCGATGACTTCCATAAAAATGTGTGCTTGCCATTTGAAATTGTGAATGTGGCCACAAAGTTCGCAAAATCTTCCAATCTAGTAACGATGACAGTTCTACTAAAATGGCAGCGTTGACCCAGGCTATACACGGCACCAACGAGCGAATTGATGGACGACTCACACGTAACAAATAAGCGTTCACATTTACTCTGTTCCTTGGTAATGTTCACAAAACTGTTGTAGTGGAAATTGGCATCAGGAACAGCTTCATTACCAGTATCTGTGCATTTTACAGCCAGGGATAAGAAATAGTACATAACTTGCACAATCGTAGACAAATCTGGACGCTTTTTGCGGAAGCCATTCCATTGCTCGTTGAAGTTGTCCTTCTCCTCCTTACTGTTGAATGAGAGTTCGATAAACTTCTTGAACTTTTTATTCTTTGCAGCCATACTGAAAAGGAACATATAACAACATATAGTTTAGATAATATATACAGCGAGAACAAACAACTGCAATTGTGATTGTTTTCCTCTTATATCAACGTGGTGCCAACTATGACGTAAAACGACCGTTAATTTGAATTTTTAGACCTACCCGATGTTCGAAAATCAAGGATTGTGAGTCTCATACTGCCCGATTTTCTTCAAATTTGTTTTATACAAAGCACAACAAAAATGCCTTTCTGTTGGTACATTATTTTGTTATACAGAGTCTCTCGTTTTAGCGACGTCTTGGTCCCAAGCTTTGAGAAGCGTTTTTCTCAGCTGGGGATCAAAATGCCGCAAAAACGAGAGACTCTGTACAATAAGACAATGTATCGGCAGAAAGGCATTTTTGTTTTGCTTTGTATAAAACAAATTTGAAGAAAATCGGTGCAGTATGACACTCACAATCCTTGATTTTCGAACATCGGGTAGGTCTAAAATTCAAATTAATGGTCGTTTTACGTCATAGTTGGCACCCCGTGTATATATTGATGCTTCTCTGACATGTTTTTTCGCTTTGCTCATTCGTAATAAAATGGATATCACTCAAAACGATCATACAATATTGCATTTTGGTCCTTCAATCGTATTGCTAGCTTATTTATAGGTTTCACTGAGTCACAAAAAGTAATTTGATATGACCCATCCCAGGGACAGATCCAGAAATCAAAAAGGGAGGGGGGGCAATACAAATTGGCATCCCTAAATGCCCTAGAAATACCTAGAAATGCCCAATAATTGTGGCCCTAAAGCACTTTAGAGCTCAACATTTTTAACTCATCTTAGGGGGGGGGGCTTGCCCAGATCCGCCATTACATCATTTGATCTCAATGAAAGAATGCTGAGGAGTGAACCGAGCAAAACATAAATCAGTATTTGTAAACAACAGATAATAAGAGAATAATCAACAAAATTAAAACATTTAGATATCTTGAGCAGTTGTACAGTTCGCCACTCTGCAATACATATTGTACATATGCCAAGGATCAGTAAGTCGTACACATGTACTTATCATTACGTGAGCAATCATCCACAACACGTTGATATTTTATGTGTATCGGCCTGATAAATAATGCAGTGGAAGTTTTCAATGTTTATCCAAAATATATACCCAACACTATATCAATACATAAAAATATACCTTACGAGTTACATCTTGAATAATTATTTGCAATATAAAATATGTTACTTACCTAGATTTGTAAACATGCGAATTTATGTTTAGCACACTGTTTCGACCGTCCTCTCACACCTATCTGAACCAAACTTTGGTTGGCCCTATTTATAGTCCCCGAGTACGGACAATCGCGCACTCTATATAGATTACCACACACTTTAAAATGTCAAAAGTATTGCCCAATTTATAATTTTCAGATAATTTATTCATCACCAAAATTAGTAAAAATTATCAACATGCAGAACTACCTTAAAGAGTTTAATCTCTCACTCAGTCACAATCATGTCAACCAAAACTGTACTTGTATTACATAATATAGGATTATACAGCTTACCATGCGTGTGCAATCTATATAGCGTCCACACGGACATCTTTACAGAATCATATATAATTTTTGAATATAAACTAATTCAACCCAATAAGGCGAGTACTAAAGAATTTACTTACCTGCCATCTAAAAATCTGCTTGGAACTACCATTGGATTACCATTGGATTCCTCCAAGAGAATATTCTAGGGATTATGGAATGCATTCAGCTTACATAATTTGAGATTGAGAAATTATTGGCATACGTAAAACCTATTTAAAACAGCATTTATCGTATTCAAAAGCGTTGAGCATCATTGATTCCCAGCCCTCTGAAGATTGAAAAATAAAAATACCTGGGTGTTAATCCATGGATTATCTTTGAAAATGAGAAATATATTTTTGGATTACATGGTGTAATCTTAAAGTAAACAAAATGTTTTAAAGTGTATTGATGTTTTTTTGGATGAAAATCATGAGCGAAATTCATGAAAAAATCCTCCTACAAACAACTCGCCCACCTTTCAGCATTTTTCGATCACTGAGACACGTGTGTTCAGAATGTTCACCGTATCGATACCAATTCTTCAGGTTTTTCAAAATATAGGTTTATCTAGATAATACAGATGATAATACAATATTTTAGCAGCTAGAAATTTATTTACTCCACAATTAAGTCGAATTTTTTTCAATATCTTCATAACTATAATAGAAAGATTTCGTCATAAGTTAGAAAAACTTAAAAACCTGTGCAATAATATAAAAAATGAGTGATCATCGTAAGACAATTTTTCATTTGACGAGAGAGGGGAGCATATTATAAAAAACAGCTGGCATGATACACCATCTCATGATTGGTAGAGATAGGATCCTTATTTCAAAATATCAATACATTGCTCTACATATAAGTACATATTTTTGCAAAACGCCAACCTTCAATTTTACGTTTACTTATACGCTTAAACACGAGTTATGCTTTCACATGAGATAATAGGATATATTTTTACCGACGTACATCCAACAATAAAAACAATCACAATAGAAATATTTAAAAGAAAAATAAATGATTCTTGAATACTGTGGTCTAGATATGGAGACTAATACCTTAAAAGAACCTGCTTAGTGGAACACCTCGCAAGTGGAACGCTTTTTTAAAGTCACGTTTTAAAAACCCATTGACTTAATGTTAATTGAACCTCCTTAGGTGGAACACCTCCAAACTTGAACAGTGAACACCCCATATTAAAATATTAACCTGCTAAGTGGAACAGTCAATTTTCCCTGAATTTCAATATTGATACTTATGTATTTACAGAATTAACCCCCTAGAGTGATATCTTGGTAACTGAAAACAGGTAATAAATGTGATAGTTGGCAAATTAGGGTTTTAACGGATTACCATTCAGCAAATTGGATCAAACTCCTTTAGAGATCAACATATGATGCTACCACTAATTAATTTGATAATCAGCAAATTAGGATTTCATAAGATTATCATTCAGAAAATTGGATTAACCTCCTGTAGAGATGGACATGTGTTGTTTCAAACTTGATAGATAAGATTAAGAATGTCAGTTAAAAACAAATGAATTATAAGGAACAAGTCTAAAACTTAATTGCCAAATCTTTGTGCCAAAGACTGGCAATATGTGGAGGATTAAGAACCCCACACCTCCGTAAGTGGAACACTTTTTGGCAGAACGTAGGGCGTTTCACTTACACAGGTTCTGCTGTATTAACATCCATTTAGAAAAAATCAGATTCAAATTACTCACTATCTCTGCCTTTATCTTGAAATCTCTGTCTATATTTTAATATATCTTGATATCTCTGTCTCCATCTTAATATCTCAGTCTATATCTTAATATTTCAGTTCATATCTTAATATCTCAGTCCATATCTTAATATCTCTGTCTACATCTTAATATCACAATCTATATATATCTTAATTTCTCAGTCTATATCTTAATGTTTCTGTCTATATCTTAATATCTCAGTCTATATCTTAATATCTCAGTCTATATCTCAATATCTCAGTCTATATCTTAATATTTCTGTCTATATCTTAATATCTCAGTCTATATCTTAATATCTCAGTCTATATCTTAATAATTCTGTCTAGATCTTAATATCTCAGTCTATATCTCTACATCTTGATAAACATATATACATATCAGTGATAATGACACCCTAGTGGGTGTATGTCTTATCACTATATCTCAAGTCATGTTCATGCGCACGTGAATGATGATTCTGAAAATCAAAAACCACATCAACATCCGTAATATGAATGTCCCTGTTGTTGTATCAGCGGAGTTGTGTGCTGACTTTGTACCTGATCTATTTTGGGCCACTGTAGAATCTGCTCTCTCGGGAACTGAGACGACATTGTACTCGATACCACCGAGAACTGCATGATTAGACATATTGTTCGAAAGAAGAAAATTGTTCAATTTCTCCTCCAACTGACCAATGCTGTTCGCCATTGTTTTGTTGATTATTTCCGAAACATTTGGTTTGACTTGAAATAAAACATCGAATTTGAACGTCTTGTTTATCCAATTGCCATCGGTCTTAATGGTTGTATCATCGGAAACAACGCGAAGTGGTGGAAAAAGTTCAAATAGTATTTGTGAATTGATGTAAGCCGAGATGAAATTTGAATTTGGCCATGTCAGCATTCTACAACTGATCGCCACTTTCACAACATTGTCACGAATAATACATTGATCCCCATCAAGTTTCAAATTGCCAAGGCATCGTTTCAATCGGCATTGAACCAGGTCATCAGAACAAGTAAGTTCCACTTCAGCTATCCTCGTATGTTGTTCATTCGGAACGGTTCTTACGTTGATGGTGTCTCCCTTAACGTCCATTAAAATTTGAAATGAAACAAGTAGTAAATCCTCAGGTAAAAACCCCCTTCCGTCGGAGCTATCGACCATTCGACAAAGATCAGGGTATAGTTGCGAGTTCGATACATAATGTAACTGCGGATTACATTTCCAACAGTGCTTATTATGAAAATAATTGACTTCTTGAATCGGATCTAAACCATGGGTGTGACAAAGTGCTTCCAGACGTGAGTCCTTACAAAATCCACACTCCGAAATCGTGCTAAAGCAAGGACGCAGAGACCCCCGAATATTCTCGCGATCGTATGTGTCCAACAATGGTTCCAAATATTCGTATCTACACCCACTACCAATATCTCCCGAATCTTCAATCAATTCCATGATTCGAGGGATGTTTAAGCTTCCAACTTTTAATTTGTTAAAGTGTTCACCATAAAGGCATTCGATTTTTGGTCTCCAAAATTTAACTGCTTTTACGTAATCACACTCGGCGCAATATTTGTTCTTGTAGTGTGTACGTTTAATCACATCGTAGCAGGGAATATTTGAGAATGTCTCACCGTCACCGAAGCACTTTTTCTCCAATGCAGACCCCTTAAAGTCAGTGTGACAACTGGCTTTCAGGAACACACGACCGGCTCTTTGAACACGCGTACATTGGTACTTTGATCGTTGTGAGTTATGAACAGAAAGAGGGGCGCACCTTTCATCGTCAGTTGCGAAATCAAAAAAGGTCTGGTTCGTGTCGACACCTCGTTCAGTAGCATTACAACCTCGGCATTGTTGTCCATAATCTTTACAACAGTCACCATAATGTTGACATAACTCATCACAGTGACAGACAAAGCTCGTCGCATTTTCCAATGTTACTTTGTCACCACAACGCTCCCGGCAAGATCTTTTTGTATCATTACAATTGAAATCTATGTCAACCGACTCGCATGCTTCGTTTTGAATTTCCCTCTTTTCTCTCGAAGCAGGGAAATAAACATTAGATTTCGTATCGCGTGAAAATAGCGTTTTGCGTTCTTCTGAATCATTTTCTAAAATGTTGAGCTCTGCACCATGCCTTGTTGTTTCTCTCTTCGCTTTATCCTTGATTTGGTAGCTGTGCCTTTGGTATTGGGGGCATACGAATAAAAAGTGCATAAGCCCCAATATCAGGCTTGCATTAGCGACAAATCGAAACATCGTGTTGTCATTATCTTGTCGCTCTCAAATGTGATTAATATATTGAGTCTACAAGTATTTTATTGCACTGTTTTTTAAGGGAGCATATCAATACACGTTATTTCATTTGAGGTTGACCCCTCACTCCACCTCAAAACTTAAAACATTAACTTTCTCGAACAAAGTATGCGGTAAATAACTAATACAATACAATAGTCTCGTGTTGATTAACTATTATAAACATGGTTTACGCTATTCGGATATTATGATCTGATTGACGGTATCCATAATCCCATCATAACCTTCAACTTAATTGCTAAACGCCACATATTATTGGGTTGATATTTAGTCATTTTTTATGCTTACATCGAATATGTACCTTGATTATCAGGTAAAGATCAATCATTTTCTACAATTTTGAGAATTAAGACAGTTGCGTAACCTACTTTTAAAAGTACAAGAATGTAGATCGCGACATTTTCATTTTCCTTTTGTATTTACCTCTAAGGGTTCCAACTCGATACTTTGCCTAATATAAGATGGATAAATCACATATATGGATTTTGAACTCATAATTTCATGCAGTCACTGATATCATGGATTAAAAGATTATTTACTGGTCGGGATTAATAATGGGTTTATTCCTCGTGACAATATGATATTTCCCTCTGGCTCTCCGGGCCCTAGGGAAATATCATATTGTCCCTGCCTCGGAATAAAACCCATATTGAATCCCTCAAAGTAAATAACCTCAATATATTCACTTGCTGTTTATGCAAAATCAAAAATTGAAGACCACGTAAAACATTAACCAAAGGAGACTTAATATTTTGAACACAATGATTGAGAGTTGGAACAACGAGGATATCGAAACAAAACAACTCACAAAGGGATGTCAATTACTAAGATGCGAGTAGGTAGTTACCAGTTTCGCTACCAGGTGGCTGATTCGGGGGAAATAACATGGCAGGGTATTACAAAATTCCCTTTACCATGAATATTCATCAGTTTTAGTGGTTCACTTTTCATATTACCCTTATGTATCTGATAGTTATACAAATTAAAATTTGTCAAGTAAAAGAAAATATTATCTGCCCAACACAAGAAACCTCACTTTTCGGCAGCCATCTTGCATTCTGGCGGCCATCTTGGAAATTTTGGGATAAATCTTGTCACCTAACAGATTAACTTCAATTTCATTTTTGATCTTATGAGTATTGGATATCATTATTTTCAATTTTTCTTCAACATGTATTTTAATGACTTCAGTATGAATGGAATGTCCCTCGGAGTTGTGGTCGTTGATGAGGAATTGGTCATTGAACGGTGTGGATGCTGTTTATTCCCATATTAGATTATTGTCTTGGGATATTCAGGTTTGATTTTTGTTTGCCAGTTTTACACTTTACAGTTTGCTTTTCCCACTAGGTTGCTTTACATTTTTTTCCTTTCTCATTTGTCATTTTTGTTTATATTTGTAAGGATATGATATGCAGGTCTCTCCTTCTGTGTGATCACCTGTCCAGAAGATAATTCAACTGCATGAAGAACATTTCGTTGACATGAAGCACAGTGAAAGGTTTGCCACACATTTACATTTTCGTTTAAAAGAGCTTTAATTCCGTTATATACTCAGATCAGGGCCAATTTAGCATACATTTCGTTCTCAAAAATCACTGTGCAATAATGGATTTCAAAGAAATGTTTGACGTTCTCAATCATCTTTTTTTCTTTTTGATGAAATGTAGTTATTTATTCTAAAAATCAATCGATGTCATACACAAAATGCATTTAAGTGGTATAAAGTACAGAAGCAGAGTATAAATATGTATTTTAGAATATCACCATGTGTTACCCCATTGTAGCGCCTCTTGCCCATGTTTCTATCAATATAAAACATGATATCATACACCAAATATGCATTTATGTCAAATTATGTGGTTTAAAATACAGAAAAATAGATAACATTCTCCTTAGAATACCACCTTGTGTAACCCCACTTTACTGCCCTTTGCCCCTGTTTATATCAATATAAAAGGTAGCTTGTAACCTCCCTTGTATCATGTGTAAAAGTTTTAAGAAAATCAGTAAAGTGGTTTTCCTGGAATCAAAATGACAAGATTTATCCCAAAAACTTCCGAGATGGCCGCCATAATGCAAGATGGCCACCGAAAGGTTAATTAGCTCTAGAACTTCTTACCATGTAATATGTGTGAAAATTTGAAGTAAATCTGTTTGGTTTTCCTGAAATCTTGATGACAAAATTTATCTTTAAACTTCCAAGATGGCTGCCAGAATGCAAGATGGCCACCAAAAAATAATGAGGTCTAGGACTTTTTACCATGTTACATGTAATGTGTGAACATTTGAAGTACATCTGTTATGTGGTTTTGTGGAATCGCAATGACAATATTTATCTGAAAAAATTCCAAGATGGCCGCCAGAATGCAAGATGGCCGCTGCAAAGTTAATCAGCTCTAGAACTTCTTACCATGTAACATGTGTGACCATTTGAAGTAAATCCGTCTAATGGTTTACCTGGAATCGTGATGACAAGAAAGTGAGACTTCAGAATGCGACCTCGTCTAACCCCGTTTTAGTGCCTTTTGCCCCTGTTTACATCAATAGAAGAGGTGTTTTCTTTAAAGTTCCCGTCTAAAGTTTGAAAATATTTTTTATCATTCATTTACTATTTGTCAGGACTTAAAAAGTATTTTTAGAGATTTTTGAACAAAAAAAAAAATTTTGATATAAAAGTTGTGAGCATTTCATTTCTCAAATATTCAAATTTCCCGCCATTTTTCAAAAAAAGTTGAAATTTCTTAATTATCAAATATTTCTCAATGCATTTCAAAAAATATTATCTTTTTAACACCAATGCAAAGATTGAACAAAGGACACACTATTTCAATAATAAAATGCCATATTTAATGGGCCACTTCAATGTTTTTGCATATCAAAAATATTTTGAAACATTAGTGATGTCACTAAGGTACCCAAAACTTTTTGAAAAAAATTGAAATTTTTTTTTCGATGCCAATCTTTTCTTAATATGTTAGACTTTCATAAAAAACCAATGTTGATTGTCTAACCAGGTCAAAAGGAAGAATAAATTATGTTTTAGATATCATTGTACCATTGGTTTCTATGAGAACTAAAATTTTGAAATGCATTTTTCTCAGAACCATTTTCATGCACTGATAAGTTCATTTCTCGCTTATTTATGAACCGATTTTCTTAATTTCTTCGGCAAAAAACATGGGAGGATGAATGCTATGCATTGGTATGAATTGTGGCTAATTAGAAGATATGAGTGACCTCTAAAAGTTGGTTTTAAATAAATTCACAAATTTTGGAACAAAAAGTCCATAAAAAACCACATTTTTAAATTTAAAAAAAAAGTTTCACATATCACACTTTGATAACATTAGGTAAGACTACAATATAAGCCAAAGTGGTTTAAACTTTATATGGGGCCTTTAAGAGGGAAGTCTGTTCTTTCAAACGGTACAATCATTTTATGTGGGAAAGTACCGGACAACAAAACCCCTTTTCTAGAGCCATTTTGGAAATCAGATCGGGGACTACTATGGGGAACCTCCCCGACCTAGAAGTCACATTTTCAGTGAAAATTAAATTTTCAAAGTTGATAAACTCTTTTCAAAACCACATTACTAGATGTAATTTTACATGTAGATTCCAAATATGACATCAGTCTGAATGAATTTTGAATTTTTCAATGACGTAAATCAAGATTATTTTTACTCTAGGATATTGTATTACACTATCAATCAGCCGATATAAGGACCAATCACAGGTGACCAAGATGTTATGAGAAAACCTAATCGGATTTTAAATTCATATTAATCAAAACAAAGGGAGCAGCCCAGGCAATTAATGTTCATCTAATGAAAGTCAGCACCATCCACCGTAGGTAGGTCTAATCCCATAAGAAAAGAAGTGCTGTGATAGGCAATTGGAAGAAAAACAACAGTGAGCGACTAAGTTCTCCCTTTCGCGGTTCGCTCTTTGAATCAGAACATTCGCAAATATGTCCTGAAAAAGCACTCAAAAAGGACAAAATTTGATTGGTCAATATTTTCCCACTATGCATTTCGCGTAGCTATTTGCGTGACCCGAAAGTTCTTAATCAAACTAATTACGCAATTTTGTTTTTACACCCGCACGCTAAATAAAACAATGAAGTATTCTTCTTTGTCATTGCTTTAATAGTCAGTATACCGAGTTTAATCAATAAAAGATTGTACAATGAACAACAAAATTCGGAAACGAGTACTATAGATTTGCTTTCGGACCACTGAACAGATTGACCTAGATAATAGCGACACGTCTTCTTCGGTCTTCTGCTCAGTTGTTTGTGGGTTTTCAACTTAACCCTAAAATGTAATTTGAAGATGAGAACTTTTATTCAGTTGTTGCATCGATGTTGCAGTTTGTAGTGCGGTAAGATTGGCATGAAAGTATTGAAAGTTGAATGGAATTGTTTTTTCCAATATGGCGACTAGTCATCTGATCACGTGACCTTCTCTTCCGGAATATTTTCTCACTTTTCAATCATCGTTTTCACCACGCTATGAATCAATACAATGAAAAAATAGCTGTTTTATTAAGATTAATAAGAGATCAATCGTTTCTAATAATTTTTTCTGTACTCTCATACGGGAATATGAACGAATATATCATTTGAAAAATAGGTGTGAAAATCCCCATGTTAAACCTATGTATGTATGTATGTATGTATGTATATATTAATTGCCCTTTATATAAAGGAGATACATGTATACAAATTATGTTAAATTGAAAATAATCACTATTTACAAATTAAACAAACAATGTCGTTGCTTTTTAACTGACGACGACGCCTAGCTACCGCGTAGACGCACGCCGCCGACCAAGATTGGCCTAGCACCTAATTGTAACGCAATTATAAAAAAAGTAACTATATTTTACAAACGCTCATTGCTTTGTTGTTTGTTTTGTTTGTTTTTTTAACCGGCGACGACGCCTAGCTACCGCGTAGACGAACGCCGTAGGCCTAAATAGACCTGTTACCTAACACTGTTGAGATTAATCAAAAAATGACATTATGGAGCTGCATTTTCTATAAAATCAAAAAGAAGACATAGCATATCATCGTACCTTCCCAAAGGTCGGTACTGCAGTACTGTATGAAAGTATGAGATTTCTTTCAATGTGTTGTAGGCTAGTAAAATAAATATACAATTTATGTTAATTAAAGGTTGGTGGTGTTGCCATATGGTACAATTCTAAATTAGTATGTATAGTAAATGTACATAAATATAAATACAAATATGCGAGTAAAACCAAAAATGTACAGGCTGCTTAAGAGACACAATCGTTTGTTGCAAAAACGTCAGGCTGCCGCGTTGACGTTGCAACTACCAATCAACAAAAAGAACAAGAAAGCATTGCTTATTATTGTACCTTCCCCAAGCTTGGTACTGTCCATCCATAATGGTTAGATATTAACTAAATTTCAGAGAGAGAGGATAGTCCCATGGTCGTCCCATGTACCTCCCTTGAGGGCCACCCTCCTCCACTGAATGAAGTTACATTAAGTGTATACGTTTGTTAGATATCGCTGACGGCACGTATATTGTTGCATGACTATACATGCAATATCTTTTAGACATTCAAGTGTTTGTTCGTTTGTAAAATGCCATTCTTCCGTACCAATGCCAAGGAGGTTTTTAACATTCATTTGGATATCCCATTCATAACAATGAGTTTTAAGTTGTTCTCTGATCTATGACATATTCATTTGAAGGGCATTTAAGTAAAAAATGCTCCACATCTTCTTTTTCGTAGGTGTCGCACAATAAACATGACAGTGTTTTATTCTCGCTACCCCTATATTTGGAGTTAAGCAAATGTTCATCCATAAGTAGTTTCACCATTATTTTGCACCCATTAAAAGCAACAGGAAAACGTCTTGCAACATTCCACCATATAACTGGCCTCAGTACCTCGAAATTACCCATTCTAAAATAGCCTAGTCCCTTGTACATGATCGATTTAAAGAATGTCGCTTGCATTTGAACCTTTGTTATTTGAGTGAACACAATGTTCTTCCACCTACTTTTGGGAATGAGGGAAAACAAGGAAGTATAAATTTGTTCCTCCGCGAACTGCATCATGGGAAATATTTTGACCTTATAAGGAAAGATTTTCGCGTCTCCTCTTTTGAAGAGGGAATAGCGATTTCGAGAATTTAAACCGAACAGTGGATTCAGTTCATAGACACTATCAATTTAAACCAAACAGTGGATTCAGTTCATAGACACTATCAATTAAACCAAACGGTGGATTCAGTTCATAGACACTATCAATTTAAACCGAACAGTGGATTCAGTTCATAGACACTATCAATTAAACCAAACAGTGGATTCAGTTCATAGACACTGTCAATTTTAAACCAGACAGTGAATTCAGTTCATAGACACTATCAATTTAAACCAAACAGTGGATTCAGTTCATAGACACTATCAATTTAAATCAGACAGTGGATTCAGTTCATAGACACTATCAATTTAAACCAAACAGTGGATTCAATTCATAGACACTATCAATTTAAACCAGACAGTGGATTCAGTTCATAGACACTATCAATTTAAATCAGACAGTGGATTCAGTTCATAGACACTATCAATTTAAACCAAACAGTGGATTTACCTTTCCTTCAACATTTTTCCATCGCAGGTTCAGTAAATAAAAATGCAAACGTAAAGACGCTTCAATACGTAGTTCAATGTGGGAGCTAAGGTTGCCAAACTCATTGATGGGAGTGTACGGCGTAGGTATATTAACGAATTTTATATAAGTCCCTATTATTCTTCAATACACGCAAGTTTACGTCGGGGGGTTCTTGTTCATATATGAGCCAACATTATCTGACCGAAGAAAGCTACACACTGAAATTGGCCCAATATACAGTTCATAGACGTATTTTGCCTGATTATGTGTCAAATATCTTACTGCAGGGTGTTAAAAACGCAACCTAAAGAAATCACTATATCTTGGAAAATACTTGTTCAATTGTGTTCGTTTTTTCAGGAAAGAAAGAAGAGACTGTGTATGTATACCTCATTCTGTTAGTTAGTTGTAAAACATGATGCCTTGGACAACTGCTCAAAAGACATTAGTATTAGAAAGATACGAAAAACGCCGTCAGGGACGACTGCCACAGCAACAAATCATCTTCATATAATGTTTAGTGGATTAGGGTTTCATTAAAATCACTCCAGGGACTTTACAGTCATGGTCAAAATGCCCTCTTAAGTCTGGCTGAACCAGGATGTTTGACTTAGTTTTGAAAGCACTTCGACCAAAATTGTAAAGTCCCTGGAGTGATTTTGATTTCACTCTACTTCCATTAATGTCCATGCATTGTTTATCAGTATTCGTGATCTTCTGTGATACTATATACATGTAGGGATTATGCGCTGGTCGTCGACAGGCCAATTTCCCCTTCGTGGCAAGGTACTTCTCATACATACATACAAACATCTCGATTGAAATACCTCAATAGCAATACCTAATTTGTTGTCCAAAAGAAGCTCTAAATGAACTGAATATTATGAGTTATTGAATGATTTGAAGTGCAATACAGGATATATTCTGCTCGAGAAAGTTTGTATTGGAACGAGACGAAGTCGAGTGCCAATACATAATATCCTGAATATATCCTGTATTGCACTTCAAATCATTCAATAAGATTGTCCCCTCCGTACCAATATTTTTTGTATTGCGACGGAGATTGTCAACGGGGACAACCTCAGTAGCAATACAGATTGGTACAGCACAAGAACTGACCATTAAGAGGGCTTCATTTTACAGATCATACGATAAATAAACGTATTGACTATTTATCAGCTAAACAAAGAAGAAATGCAATTAGCGAGAGAACAAAAGGCAATAACATACCTCAATATCCCATTAAACAACTGTATCTAGAATATATGTATAAAGAAACCGTATCAGTTCACCATGTTTGTCATCGCCTCTGGACAACCACTACCAAACATCGAAACCACAAAAACATGTTATTCAAGTCTGAATAGCAACAAAATGGAGTGAATTATAGTTTATTTCAAAGAATATACAGCTGTAACAAAGAAGACTGCATTATTTTTCTATTGGTTATAAAGAATGGACAGTTGGCAAGCCCCAAAACCAGTGTGGCACAAAAGATGATTGGTAGTTTTTGGCCTAATGTTTGCACCTGGACTGGCACATGCAGTGCACTGAAGCTCAACTAATTAAACCCTTTCACCCACTTAGTAGTTGAATAGTAAGAATTTAAGAAATACAATTTTAACTGTACATGGTCTGCTACATGCAGTGCACTGAAGTTGATCGAACTAATTACACCAACTCACTTCTCAACACATAGTCAATACAAAAAATCAAATTTTCCTTAAATTGGATCATTAGGCCATTTACATTTCATAAGAGTCAGTGTGGGGATTAAGTAAGATAAGCCATTCACACTGGGCCTTAGGAGAATTAATAACTTCGGGCCTGTCGGCCTTCGGCTTGGTCCTCCTAAAACCCGGTAAAATCCAGAACATAAATGCTTTAAGTAATTAAAACTGACGGGTGCATTAAGTTTGCATTTAATGTTTTTCTCTTAAACCAACTAAAAAATACTCTGTAAAAAACACGGTCCTTTATGTAATGTTGACGGATTGGCAACAATTTAATGCGAAAATTATTTAAGTATATTTATTTAAACGTTATTGTTAACATTTTTGTTTTATTGTGCATTTGTTTTTTGTTCCTTTCTACCAATTCCCGAGAATGAAATAAAATATCTTTTCGAATCTTGTTGGAACAAACTAGCATATACAACATTTTCTTAGGTACATACGTCTACATTCCATTTAGACCTCTCAATATTATAGTTATACAAAAGAAAGTTTGGTTGATTTTACAAAAAGTATTCAAAAATTAAAACAAAATAAAAACCAAAATAGATAACAATTAAGCAAATTAAACAAATAGCATATTCATTTCAATATTGATACTCTATATAAACAGAATTAACCTCCTACAGTATTATCTTGGTATCTGAAAACAGGTTATAATGTGATACTTGGCAAATTAGGGTTTTAACGGATTACCATTCAGCAAATTGGATCAACCTCCTATAGAGATCAACATGCGATGCTACCACTAATTAATTTGATAATCAGCAAAGTAGGATTTCATAAGATTATCATGCAGCAAATTTGGATCAACCTCCTGTAGAGATGGACATGTGTTGTTTCAAACTTGATAGGTAGAATAAGAATGTCAGTTAAAAACAAATGAATTATTAGGAACAAGTCTTAAACTTAATTGCCAAATCTCTGTGCCAAAGACTGGCAGAATGAGGAGGACTAAGAACCCAAAACCTCCGTAAGTGGAACACCTCCTCAGCGAAACACTTTTGGCAGAACGGAGGGCGTTCCACTTACACACAGGTTCTACTGTATTAACATTCATTTGAAAAAATCAGATTCAAATTACTCACTATCTCTGCCTATATCTTGATATCTCTGTCGATATTTCGATACATCTTAATATCTCAGTCTATGTCTTAATATCTCAGTCCATATCTTGATCTGTCTATATCTTAATATCTCAGTCTATATCTCTATATCTTAATAAACATATATACATATCAGTGATAATGACACCCTAGTGGGTGTATGTCTTATCACTATATCTCAAGTCATGTTCGTGCGCACGTGAATGATGATTCTGAAAATCAAAAACCACATCAACATCCGTAATATGAATGTCCCTGTTGTTGTATCAGCGGAGTTGTGTGCTGATTTTGTACCTGTGGCCACTGCACTAACTGTCGCTGCTGATCTATTTTGGGCCACCGTAGAATCTGCCCTCTCAGGAACTGAGACGACATTGTACTTGATGCCACCGAGAACTGCGTCATTAGACATATTGTTTGAAAGAAGAAAATTGTTCAATTTCTCCTCCAACTGACCAATGCTGTTCGCCATTGTTTTGTTGATTGTTTCCGAAACATTTGGTTTGTCTTGAAATAAAACATCGAATGTGAACGCCTTGTTTATCCAATTGCCATCGATCTTAATGGTTATATGATCGGAAACAACGCGAAGCGGTGGGAAAATTTCAAATAGTATTTGTGAATTGATGTAAGCCGAGATGAAATTTGAATTTGACCACATCAGCATTCTACAAGTGATCGCCACTTTCACAACAATGTCACGAATAATACATTGATCCCCATCGAGTTTCAAATTGCCAAGGCATCGTTTCAATCGGCATTGAACCAGGTCATCAGAACAAGCAAGTTCCACTTCAGCTATCCTCGTATGTTGTTCATTTGCAACAGTCCTCACGTTGATGGTGTCTCCCGTAACGTCCATTAAAATTTGAAATGAAACAAGTGGTAAATGCTCAGGTAAAAAAAACCTTCCGTCGGAGCTATCGACCAATCGACATAGATCAGGGTATATTCGCGAGTTCGATACATAATGTAACTGCGGATTGCATTTCCAACAGTACATATTATGAAAAATATTAATTTCTTGAATTGGATCTAAACCATGGGAATGACAAAGTGCTTCCAGACGTGAGTCCTTGCACAATCCACACTCCGAAATCGTGCTAAAGCAAGGACGCGAAGACCCCCGAATATCCTCGCGATCGTATGTGTCCAACAATGGTTCCAAATATTCGTATCTACACCCACTACCAATATCTCCCGAATCCTCAATCAATTCTTTGATTCGAGGGATATTTAAGCTTCCAACTTTTAATTTGTTAAAGTGTTCACCATGGAGGCATTCGATTTTTGGTCTCCAAAACTTCACTGCTTTTACGTAATCACACTCGGCGCAATATTTGTTCTTGTAGTGTGTACGTTTAATCACATCGTAGCAGGGAATATTTGAGAATGGCTCACCGTCACCGAAGCACTTTTTCTCCAATGCAGATCCCTTAAAGTCAGTGTGACAACTTGCTTTCAGGAACACCCGACCGGCTCTTTGAACACGCGTACATTGGTAGTCTGAGCGTTGTGTGTTATGAACAGAAAGAGGGGCACACCTTTCGTCGTCAGTTGGGATATCAAAGAAGGTCTGGTTTGTGTCGACACCTCGTTCAGTAGCATTACAACCTCGGCATTGTTGTCCATAATCTTTACAACAGTCACCGTAATGTTGACATAACTCATCACAGTGACAAACAAAGCTCGTCGCATTTTCCATTGTTACCTTGTCACCACAACGCTCCCGGCAAGATCTTTTCGTATCATTACAATTGAAATCTATGTCAACCGACTCGCATGCTTCGTTTTGAATTTCCCTCTTTTCTCTCGAGCTCGAAGCAGGGAAATAAACATCAGATTTCGTATCGCGTGAAAATAGCGTTTTGCGTTCTTCTGAATCATTTTCTAAAATGTTGAGCTCTGCACCATGCCTTGTTGTTTCTCTCTTCGCTTTATCCTCGATTTGGTAGCTGTGCCTTTGGTATTGGGGGCATACGAATAAAAAGTGCATAAGTCCCAATATCAGGCTTGCATTAGCGACAAAGCGGAACATCGTGTTGCCATTATCTTGTTGCTTTCAAATGTGATTAATATATTGAGACTACAAGTAATTTATTGCACTGTGTTTTAAGGGAGCATATCAATACACGTTATTTCATTTGAGGTTGACCCCTCACTCCACCTCAAAACTTAAAACATTAACTTTCTCGAACAAAGTATGCGGTAAATAACTAATACAATACAATAGTCTCGTGTTGATTAACTATTATAAACATGGTTTACGCTATTCGGATATCATGATCTGATTGACGGTATCCATAATCCCATCATAACCTTCAACTTAATTGCTAAACGCCACATATTATTGGGTTGATATTTAGTCATTTTTATGCTTACATCGAATATGTACCTTGATTATCAGGTAAAGATCAATCATTTTCTACAATTTTGAAAATTAAGACAGTTGCGTAACCTACTTTTAAAAGTACAAGAATGTAGATCGCGACATTTTCATTTTCCTTTTGTATTTACCTCTAAGGGTTCCAACTCGATACTTTCACATATATGGATTATAACTCATAATTTCATGCAGTCACTAATATCATGGATTAAAAGATTATTTACTGGTCGGGATTAATAATGGGTTTATTCCTCGTGACAATATGATATTTCCCTGTGGCTCTCCGGGCCCTCGAGAAATATCATATTGTCCCTGCCTCGGAAAAAACCCATATTGAATCCCTCAAAGTAAATAACCTCGATGTATACACTTGCTGTTTACGCAAAATCAAAAATTGAAGATCACGTAAAACATAAATCAAAGGAGAATTGATTTCAGTTCATACACACAATGATCGAGAGTTGGAACAACGAGGATATCAAAACAAAACAAACTCACAAAGGGATGTCAATTACTAAGATGCTGATAGTTATACAAATTAAAATGTGTCAAGTAAAAGAAAATATTATATGCCCAACATAAGATACTTCACTTTCTGTGATTTTACAACATGGGGTCTGTGGGGAACCTCCCCGACCTAGAAGTCACGTTTTCGGAGAAAATTAAATTTTCAAAGTTGATAAACTCTTTTCAAAACCACATTACTAGATGTAATTTTACATGTAGATTCCAAATATGACATCAGTCTGAATGAATTTTTAATTTTCAATGACGTAAATCAAGATTATTTTTACTCTAAGATATTGTATTACACTATCAATCAGCCGATATTAAGGACCAATAACAGGTGACTAAGATGTAACGAGAAAACCTAATCGGATTTTAAATTCATATTAATGAAAACAAAGGGAGCAGCCCAGGCAATTAATGTTCATCTAATCAAAGTCAGCGCCATTCACAGAAGGTAGGCCTAATCCCGTCAGAAGTGCTGTGATAGGCAATTATTGGAAGATAAAACAACAGTGAACGACTAATTACGAAACACGCAAACAGTGGATTCAGGTCATAGACACTAGCCCTATTTACACTACGCGCGGCATTCAAAGACGTCTTGGCTAAAACGTTTTAGAAAAACTATGTTGAGTTTACACCACCATTTTCAAAACGTCCATGGTCTTACGAAATATGATTGAGTTTACACCTGTTTTTCTAAAACGTCTTAAAGATATGAAGGTATACATGCAAAATTAAAAAGATCAGAACTGGTTGAAGGACGGCTCAGTCAATATAGTAGCTATTCCTTCCCCGTTTCTATACTTTGTGCTAAAGAATGCATCGGTTTCACAAAAATATGTCCCAAGACGGCATTGTTAAAAGCATGAAAGAGAGCAGGAAGATTGTATGCATAAATTAGGATAATTTGTCAATAATATTTTGGGATGATATTGGGAACAAGGGACGGATAAGACATAAGAAAGGACCATGCGACATATGTAAATAGGAAGTTTCGAATGTTTCGTTCGGCGCAACGCAAAAAACCGGGCTAAGAGCTATTGTACCTAAAACCGATGGATTTACACTCGCTCGTAAAACATAAAATGTTTTAACGCTTGGCTATGACAAGGGTCTTAAAGTTTTAGCTTCAGTTCATAGACACTATCAATTTAAACCAAACAGTGGATTCAGTTCATAGACACTATCAATTCAAACAAAACAGTGGATTCAGTTCATAGACACTATAAATTTAAACCAAACAGTGGATTCAGTTCATAGATACTATCAATTTAAACCAAACGGTGGATTCAGTTCATAGACACTATTAATTTAAACCAAACGGTGGATTCAATTCATAGACACTATCAATTAAACCAGACAGTGGATTCAGTTCATAGACACTATCAATTTAAACCAAACAGTGGATTCAGTTCATAGACACTATCAATTTAAACAAAACAGTGGATTCAGTTCATATACACTATCAATTTAAACCAAATGGTGGATTCAGTTCATAGACACTATCAATTAAACCAGACAGTGGATTCAGTTCATAGACACTATCAATTTAAACCAAACAGTGGATTCAGTTCAGAGACACTATCAATTTAAACAAAACAGTGGATTCAGTTCATAGACACTATCAATTTAAACCAAACAGTGGATTCAGTTCATAGACACTATTAATTTAAACCAAACATTGGATTCAGCTCATAGACACTATCAATTTTAAACCAGACAGTGGATTCAGCTCATAGACACTATTAATTTAAACAAAACAGTGGATTCAGTTCATAGACAATATTAATTTTAAACCAAACGGTGGATTCAGTTCATAGACAATATTAATTTAAACCAAACAGTGGATTCAGCTCATAGACACTATCAATTTTAAACCAAACAGTGGATTCAGTTCATAGACACTATCAATTTTAAACCAGACAGTGGATTCAGTTCATAGACACTATCAATTTAAACCAAATAGTGGATTCAGCTCATAGACACTATCAATTTAAACCAAACAGTGGATTCAGCTCATAGACACTATCAATTTTAAACCAGACAGGGGATTCAGTTCATAGACACTATCAATTAAACCAAACAGTGGATTCAGCTCATAGACACTATCAATTTTAAACCAGACAGTGGATTCAGTTCATAGACACTATCAATTTAAACTAAACAGTGGATTCAGTTCATAGACAATATTAATTTAAACCAAACAGTGGATTTAGTTCATAGACAATATCAATTTAAACTAAACAGTGGATTCAGTTCATAGACACTATCAATTTAAACCAAACAGTGGATTCAGCTCATAGACACTATCAATTTAAACCAAACGGTGGATTCAGTTCATAGACAATATTAATTTAAACCAAACAGTGGATTCAGCTCATAGAAACTATCAATTTAAACCAAACAGTGGATTCAGTTCATAGACAATATTAATTTTAAACCAGACAGTGGATTCAGTTCATAGACACTATCAATTTAAACCAAACGGTGGATTCAGTTCATAGACAATATTAATTTAAACCAAACAGTGGATTCAGCTCATAGAAACTATCAATTTAAACCAAACAGTGGATTCAGTTCATAGACAATATTAATTTAAACCAAACAGTGGATTCAGTTCATAGACAATATTAATTTAAACCAAACAGTGGATTCAGCTCATACACACTATCAATTTTAAACCAGACAGTGGATTCAGTTCATAGACACTATCAATTTAAACCAAACGGTGGATTCAGTTCATAGACAATATTAATTTAAACCAAACAGTGGATTCAGCTCATAGAAACTATCAATTTAAACCAAACGGTGGATACAGTTCATAGACAATATTAATTTAAACCAAACAGTGGATTCAGTTCATAGAAACTTTCAATTTAAACCAAACAGTGGATTCAGCTCATAGACAATATTAATTTAAACCAAACAGTGGATTCAGTTCATAGACACTATCCATTTAAACAAAACAGTGGATTCAGTTCATAGACACTATCAATTTAAACAAAACAGTGGATTCAGTTCATAAACACTATTAATTTAAACCAAACATTGGATTCAGCTCATAGACACTATCAATTTTAAACCAAACAGTGGATTCAGTTCATAGACACTATTAATTTAAACAAAACAGTGGATTCAGTTCATAGACAATATTAATTTTAAACCAAACGGTGGATTCAGTTCATAGACAATATTTATTTAAACCAAACAGTGGATTCAGCTCACAGACACTATCAATTTTAAACCAAACAGTGGATTCAGTTCATAGACACTATCAATTTAAACTAAACAGTGGATTCAGTTCATAGACAATATTAATTTAAACCAAACAGTGGATTCAGTTCATAGACAATATCAATTTAAACTAAACAGTGGATTCAGTTCATAGACAATATTAATTCAAACCAAACAGTGGATTCAGTTCATAGACACTATCCATTTAAACAAAACAGTGGATTCAGTTCATAGACAATATCAATTTTAAACCAGACAGTGGATTCAGTTCATAGACACTATCAATTTAAACCAAACAGTGGATTCAGCTCATAGACACTATCAATTTAAACCAAACAGTGGATTCAGTTCAAAGACACTATCAATTTTAAACCAGACAGTGGATTCAGTTCATAGACACTATCAATTTAAACCAAACAGTGGATTCAGTTCATAGACACTATTAATTTAAACCAAACATTGGATTCAGCTCATAGACAAATTTAAAACGAACAGTGGGTTCAGTTCATTTTCACCTTTTCTACTTCTCAACACTAAATTTTTGTGGTTACTAAGGAAACAGGCGTTTTAGACACATTCTCATTTTTAAGGATTACCTATAGATTAACACCCAGGTATTTTTATTTTTCAAACTTCAGAGGGCTTTGAATCATTGATTACGAACGCTTTTGAATAATATAATATAAATGCTGTTTTGGATATGTTTCATATGTATGCCAATTATTTCTCAAATTGTGTCAACTGTATTCTTTAACCCCTAGAATATTCTCTTTTTCCATATAAATCCAATGGTATAGTTCCAAGCGGATTTTGAGATAACAGGAAAGTTAATCTTTAATACACACCTTATAGGGTTGTGAAAAACATGAATACGCATCAAAAACAATCAGTTACACCACAGTCTCAAGGTTTGAAACTGCGGGACCTTAAGCACAATTAATTAACGGTACGCATGAACAGAACTTAATAATAAAAAGTCTGGCAAAAAATTGAGTATTTTGAGAATCAATCGCTTTCTTCGGATTTTAATGTTTTTTATCTAATTCAACATGAATTGAGGGTTTTACCTCAAACCCATCAGATTGGCATCCTTGAGCAACTCTCCAACAGAGCATTTCTTGTACCCCTGATAAATTCTACAAGGGGTATAAAACACTATTTGTTACCTGACAATTGCATTTTTGTGAGATGTCATCATTTTCGTCATATTCTTTACTCTGAAACTATCTGAAAAATATTGCACTAGAAATGAAAATAATTCATCATATGGTTAAGTTGCTATGGCAACATTACTTGATAATCAGATAGTTACATCTTACTTTTTTAATGAGTAAAGGTGTGTTCCATAATAACACTTTTTCTAAAAGTCATGCACCTTCGATAAAACAGTGTTCTTATAGCCCCCAACGTTCGACAATTTGGCGAAAATTGCCGTTTACACCAAATTGTTAATCTTTGGGGGCCGTGGGCGGAGTAAAATTAGGTTGAAATATATATTAAAAAAAGCATATGCCTTTTAACCCCAAAAGGAGTGAACAATTTATCTGAAAAGCATAACTTCCAAAAAAGTTCTATTTTGGACCACCCTACAAATATTTGCGTTGACCTAGAATGGTAAGAATTCTAAACGTGATATTAATTTCTTAATTACGTATCCTCATTTACGTTCTTTGACAGGGAGGAATATGGTTAAAAACATTGATTTTCTCGGTTTCTTCTTTAAAAGCTAGCCTTGAAAAATAAATGTAGGAAATAACGGTAATATTGACTTGTGTTCTTTCGATAAGTCGAAAACACAATATTAATGTCAATCAATATCATGCTGAAAATCAGATGAATCCCCCCAGTGTCTGTTTACCTGAATTACTAGTATTCAGAAACTTATCCCATTGCTTAATTAATTGCAAAAGTGACTGCTGTGTCCCCTGCAAAACTTTCATCGAATTTAATCGATGCGTTTTCGAAAAAGTAATATCAAAATAATTTTTCGGCTAACCCTGTATATATGCAAAACAAGTGTTTTTATTTATTTTTCATAAAAAATATTTATTTGTTGAAATAATATAAAAAGTTACTCTATATTACAACTGCATTTTGCTGCTTTTTTGTATTGGACATATTTAACTTGACAACATCAACGCCAAAGCGTAGCAAATCCCATCGAACAGCCATGGCTTGCATTTTTACAAACAAAATATATAGCAAAAATGGCAGCCATTTTTCAAAATGGCCACCTCCTACCAAAAGTGTCATTAGACAGTGTGCCATGCTCATATACTAATTATTAACAAAATCAGTCCACTACTTTTCGAGTTAGGATATAGTCCTGCGTAAGGATACTAGCGGTTACCGCTACTGATTTGGTTTTCTGTATAAAAAGTCATTTTCTCCTTCCCTATCCCATTGGAGCGCCACCTGGCGTTTGGGAATGAAATCGGGGCTCAATATTTATAAGGTAGCCTAGGTCCTGATTTATCTGAAAGCATGTCAAAGTTCAGTGGGAATCTCATCGTAAAGCTGGCGGCGGAGTGATTTTGACCTTGATGATTTAACCAGAATTTTCTGAGAAATCTGACGATAGAGGGGCTTAGTGTCTTTAAGTTTATTTATCTCAAAAATTCAGTGGACAACCCATGGTAAGTTTGTTATAGCAGGCTAGGCAAGTCTCTCCCGAACACTGTGGTATGTTGTAATAATGGTCATCTATAGGAAATTCTTCTGAAGTCTCCAACCATTAGACAGTGTGATATGCTTATAGTATTCACATACCAAATATGAACAATGGCCGCCATTTTTAAATGAGCGGCCATTTTGAAAATCTGCTTTCGAGCAGAACTTTTACTCCCATAGGGTGTATGTGTACAAAATATGAACAAAATCGGGCCAACGGTATTTGAGTTATTGCCCGAACGGACGTACGGACGGACGGAGGCGTTCCCTATATCCCTTTGAACTTCGTTCGATGGGATATCAATTAAGTACTCGCGGAAAAGACAATACTACTGACTGTTGATTGCCTTGACAAGATTTTACAAAATCATAGTTTGAAACTAAATCACATAGCAGTACTGATCTATAAGTTTTGGCACATCCCTCCTAAATTTGAATCTTGATCTTGCATTATTGCTGTTGATTTGGCATCTAAATAAAACTAGAAAAACAGCAACTCTCCGGAGTAGCAAATCTCACCGAACAAAACATATTTTGATTATTAGTGGCCATCTTGAAGATTCCTTCTTGATAAGAGTTTGTTTGTCCCTAGGCATCAAGACATAATATGTAAACCATATCCGTCAATCAGCATTTGAGTTGTCAAATATTACATCCCCTTTTTACGAAAAATGGCAGCAATTTTGAAAATCATTATCGAACAGTCATGTCCCAAAGCATCAGAATATAAAATTTGAGCTCCATTCACTGCTATTTGAGTTATCAAAAGATTACATTTCTTTGACGAAAAATGGCGGCCATTTAAGATTTTAGCTGCCATCTTGAAAATTCTTGGTCAAACTGGTAGTAACGTATAACAATCTGTAAGTTTGCATAGACCTCGATTGTTAACGCATCAAGGTCAGCCCGTAAAACAGCATTTTTACGCTTACAATTAACAATAATTGACGAAATGCGTAATATTTATCAAAATTTTTGAATATTTTCTCTAAGTATGAAACTATACTAGACGAATATAGATGGAAACAGTAGTGGCCACTTTGCTTAACAATATAAAAAAGTTAATATCAGTGATCTCCCCGTTTTTACAGCAACTGAACAATGCTATGTCTAAAAACTAATAAGATCAAAACATGTAAAATAAGAATAACCACACTGTTGACAAAAATGTAGGGAGATCACCGTGTACAATTTATCAAACGTACATTAAAGATGGTATATTACCTGATTACCGCGTAAAGGTGCGTCAAAAATGCTATGCCTACTTATGCCGCAGTCACATTTGATTTACGGCAACCGTCAGTGGCCGTACATTGTAGCTTCCCAGCACAAAATCGAGAGAAATGTGCAGAACAAAATGATAAGCAGTACGATGTAGATTTTCTATAACGATTGTGTGAAGCTACAGCCGCCGTACGCCCACCGTAGATCAATTGTGCCCGATACTTTTGGTACAGTAATATTGTAATTCACTATAAACTATATAAAACTCTTTGAAAACAAAACAAAACGTTTCTAATGTAAAAATCAACATAGAATATTGAATTCTGTTCTTTAAATAAATTAAAACCTGGCTTACATTATACCATGGGCTTTCAATATGAATTCTATTGAATGCCCATGATTTATTATACACTTCATGAAATATTGTGAATTGAATTGTACAATGAAAAAATAGCTGTTGAATAGATTAAGACCTTTTTACAAAAATTTGTTTTGTTTTAATTCTCACTAAAATAGTACTATAGATATTTACACTGACGTTTCGAGAGATTACACCTTATTTGCATATGACGCAGCGTCCCATGAGTCATCAGAATCATGGTCTTTTATGGGTTTCACAATGGATCTAATTTTGGGTGGTTCATTTACTTTGGGTGACCCATGTTTCCGTTTCTTGGATTGTCTTGGAGATTCAACATTGATTACTCTTTCAGTGTATTCTTCCATTTCATTGTCTTTTTTATGTTTCGATTTCTTGTGTTTGTGTTTTTTCATCAATGATTGGTTGCTTTTCTCAGTTGTTGTGGCTACTTGTGGATCAACTGGACTATTCCTTTCTGAATCAAACTCATTTGGAATACACTCAGAGTTTTTCCTCCGAGATTTTTTCGCTTTTTTACTATGTTTAATAGCTATTGAATCAGAGTCTGTAGAGTCTCTATCAAGAGTAGGTAGGGTCTCATTAGTAATATTTTCAGTGTCATTGAAAACACTTATGCCCTCTTTGTGTTTATGTTTAGATGATTTTTTCCTTTTTTTCATAGATTCACCAGAACTTGGATTTCTTTCACCATCTCCTGATTTACTCATTGATTTATGTTTCTTTTTGGAGGAAGGTTCTAAAATTGCACTTAACTCAGAGTCTATGATGTCCATTTGTTTTTGAATATAATCACTTTCTGAATTTTCAGTTTCTGTTCTTCTTTGTTTCTCTTTATTCTTGCGCCTTGTTTGTTTATCGTTGTCCGATTTATAGTCTGGATTGTCAATCACTATTGTCATATTCATGACATCATCAAGGTTATTCTTAACTGATTCCTCTGATTTTTTCCGCTTCTTTTTGGACTTTTTATGACTAAGAGCATTTTCTATTGATTCATTTATAGCGTCAATGTCAATATCGTTGCTTTTATTTCGAGAATGATTTTTTGTTTTCTTCTGTTTTCTCATACTTCCTGGTGTTTCAGTTTCTTCGGATTCTTCCTTTTTGGAGTGAGATTTTTTATGTTTGGTTTTCTTTGATTTATTAGAGGTTTGTTCTACGTCATTTTTTGTATCATGATCAGCATCTCTAGAATGTGATTTTTTATGTTTAGTTTTATGTTTCTTTTTTGACCGTTTTTTCTCTACGTTATCCAGATCAATTTCAGCACTATCATCAGTTATGTAATCAGCACCCATCATTTCTCTATGACCCTTGAGGACAGCTCTTTCCAAACTCCCAGTGGAGTCGTCATCTTGAAAGTCGTCATGAAATCTTTCTCGTCTTCTTGTGTCGTACTCATCCCTGAATCGTGAATGGTGAAAATCTCTATGTTTGTCTTCATCAAATCTTCGATGGTCATTATCATTGAAAGGAGCATGTAATCTTGGATGGTGAAGATCATTAAACCTATCATAGTTTTCACCTGGAGGTCTCTGGTCAAAGTCACGGTGTTGATAGCCACGTGATCTACCCCTGGCTCGAAAGTTTTTGTCAAAATTCCGTCCTCTGTAGTTCCCTTTTTCCACATATTCTCTGTAACCCCCTCTTCCTCTATATGCAAATTCATCTCTTCTTTCATTCAACTGACTGAGGTCTTCACTATATGTAGCTCTATACAATTCCCCAGTTCTACCACTATGTACTGGAAATCCACCACTTGTATCAAATCTCCCCCTTGGCATGTGCATCCGTTGAGCTCTATCATTTTGATCAATTTCTCGATTATATCTTTGATCATCTCTTCTATCTTTATATTTATCACCCCTATCTCTGGATTTGTGGTCGTCTGCTAAGTGCAGTGCATTAAAGGACATGTTTGTGTCCATTCCTCGGTCCCTCTCCCTGCTGCTATGGTGATCCCTTTGTTTACCTTCTTTTCTTTCCTTTTTATCTTCCTTCTTTTCCTCTCTCTGAGAGTTTTCCTTTGAGTGGTGTCTCTCTGGTTTCATTCTTGAATACCTCCTCTCATCTGATCCCATCTCTTGATCTTCGGGATCCTTTGATCTTTCTTTATGAATGTCATTATCTTTTTCCATTGTATTACCTCTTGAGTGTTTATTCTCTTCTTCATTATCACCTTTGTTCTCAAACCTAGATTTTTTCTTCTTTTTCTTTGATTTGGATTTTGGACTTTTTGATCTTGATTTTTTTGCAACACTCTCATCATTATTTGGTGATTTTCTGTCATCTGAAAAAGGTGAGTTTGAAACAGGATCATTTTCTTTCGTTTCTGGGTCTCTACTTTTAGACACAGATCTATGACTTTCTGGCCTTGACTTGTGGTCTCTTGAGCTTGACCTCCTGTCTCCCGACCTTGACCTCTGATGATCTTTTGATGTTGACCTTCTATCTCTTGACCTTGACCTTTTACGACTTCTTGAGCTTGACCTTCTGTCTCTTGATCTTGACCTATGGTGACTTCTTGACCTTGATCTTCTGCCTCTTGATCTATAGTAACTTCTTGATCTAGACCTTTTTTCTCTTGATCTTGACCTATCATGACTTCTTGATCTTGACCTTCTGTCTCTTGATCTTGACCTATGGTAACTTCTTGATCTTGACCTTCTGTCTCTTGATCTTGACCTATCATGACTTCTTGACCTTGACCTTCTGTCTCTTGATCTTGACCGGTGATGACTTCTAGACCTTGACTTACGATCTCTTGATCTTGAAGAGCTTCTTGACCCATGACGACTATGTGATCTTGACTGCCTGTCATCAAAACGATCATGCTGCCACCTTGGAGAGTCGTGTCCCCTTCCTCGTCCCCTCCAAGGGCGTCCCCTATATGTACTGTTCATATATCGCCCCCTGCTTCGATTATTGATATACCGCCCTCGACCTCGGGGTCTGCTGAAGAAATTTTGTATGTAGTCATACCAGTATGCTATTTCTTCCCACTCTGTATTAAATGGATCATCACTATCTCTTCCAGGTGAAACATCCCTCGGTGATCTTGACCCATGATGAGGTGACCTTGACCCATGTCGAGGCGACCAGGTTTCATATCTCTCCAAAGGTCTAGAACGATCAAATGACGGTGATCGTGAACGTTTGTAGTGGTGTGATCCATAACTGTCAACTGATGATACACTATGTATGCTGTTCAGACTGCCACTTGAAAAACTTCTAAATTCACGCTCCCTTTTCTTTTCCCTTACGGCTCTTCTTTCTTTTTTTCTTTCCCTTTTCTTTGCCTTGATTTTCTTTTCCCTTATTTTGGATTTAATTTTTTCCTCAAAATCAGACAAGTTTTGATCGTCATCTGATTCAAGGAGTTTTTCTACATCACTGTCAAAAAGTACTTCACTGTCAATTTCTGAGATCGCAACATCACTAATTGTAATGTCACTTGAATCAATACTTAGCTTTCGCTTACGTTTTCGCTTTTTCTTGGATTTTTTCTTCTTCTTTTTGGAAAACTTTGGGCCATCAGAGAGATCACTAGAGGCTGTAAGTAACGATTGTAAGCTATCTAAGTCTGAGTCTAGTGAGCCTTCAATCTCACCAGATTCTAATGACACATTATCATCGTCATATTTCTGTTTAGATTTCTTATGTTTTTTATGCTTCTTTTTCGATCGTTTTTCTTTCCGAATTTTGTTACGTTCTTTAGTGTGATAATATCTATCATCTGAATGCTGCGTTCTTGAATTCAGCCATTTTTCACGTAACATAGCACGGAAATCATCCTTAGAACGTCCTCTATGAAAAACAGGGAAGCGTCCTCTAAATGGAGGGCGCCACTGGTTGTTATACCGTCCCCTACCACGTCCTCTATAAGGCCGCCTTTCATACGAGTCATAACCTCTCCCACGATAAGACCCCCTATAATAACCACCATAATTATCATCTCTGTCATTGTAATTATCCTCTTTTCTTTCACCATCTTTGGAGTCTTTAGAGTCTTTAATTCCAGCTAATTTTGAAGATTCTTTGTCTATCAAATCTGAATACTCAGCGATAGTTTTATCCATCTGAAGCTCAACGACGTATCGTTTCCTCGCAGCTGACACCGAGAAGTCAGACAGAGTTTTCCGATCAACAATATTTGGCTTATGAAAGCCCTTGTCGTCACGACGACGTGTGCCATGTCTTATTTCTTCCTTCGTCAATGGTCGACGTAAAGTGCTTGCCAATAGATTGTTGGCAAATATTTTATTTATTTTTGGTGCTTTGTCAAAGGCGGCAGCTCCAAGTTGTTCGGCCCGTTCTGCAGCAACTCTAGCCTCTTTTTCAATTTCATCCAAGGCAGCCCTGAAAAATATTAAGATTATTTACTTCAAGAAGAGATTTGATTTTACGTTCACTACAACTGGAGGTGATAATATTTGGAATCCCATTATTACAATTAAGAATGAAATGGTAAATTGACTCAAATAAATTAACATTTTAAGTATAAATTGACTCAAATAAATTAACGTTTTAAGTATAAATTCAGATTACACAGGGAGAATTGTTTCAAAATATTATCCTTGAATTACTATACTTCTACTTAATTTGGTGACTTTTTTAATTGTTAAAGTTTGCCAAATTAAGTAGCCGCCAAATTCCATATTTCATGCTTTTAATCGAAAATGTGTATGGTATAATGTATATATACTGTATACATTTCAATATTGCAAGTCCACCAAATTAAATAGTTGTCAAATATTCAAAACACCAAATCCGCCAAAATAAGTAGCACTAAATTAAGTAGAAGTACAGTAGTATGTTTTTCCTTGCATCAAATTTGACAACTGTTCTCTTCTCACTGTCAATCTCATGTAATTCATTGAACTTATTTGTATGAATAAATCTCAAAACAGCTTAATTTTAATTATTTACATTTCTTTAATGTCTGTTTACTTTTTAGTCCTTGCTAATTCCACTCTTTCATTATGTTTCAATGTAAAGTTTAAATGAAATGTTTGACTTTTTGGCATTTCTTAACAATTTGGAGAATTCATTTCATGTCTGTTGAATCTATTCCTTGCTCATTCCATTTGTTCCACTCTATTTTACATTTAAAAAATGACAACTATGCTCTTTTCTATGATCAGGACATAATATGGAAACTCACTGTTGTAAACCTAAAACATCATCATCCACCTTTCCAATTGCACTTCTGAAAATACACAAAAACACAAAACACATGTAAATATGAGAAAATACAGGAATGTACACATTAAAACAGAAAATACATGTAAAAAGCTTGCAAGTTTTTTAATACAAAGTTTGCCTATATAAGTCCAGTGCACAAATTCACTTGCAAAATTCCATATTTTTTGAATCTGCAATAATGTTGGTATTTGGTTCCTAGACTCTAGATCTAGACTCTAATGAACACTTGGAACCCTTTCACTAAACTAGAGATCTGCACATTAAAGACCTCATTTAAACCTTTTTACTAAACTTGAGATCTGCACATTAAAGACCCCATGTAAAGCTCTATCCGCACTGATTATTTCTAAACAAGGTGTTTCATATATCCAATAAATGTGTCCTATTTTTTTTTAAAATCACACAGAAAGTTGATGACTTTCAAAATAATTTTTTATCTATAGGTCACCTCATTCACCAATACTGAATAAAGGCTGTAAACAATGTAAAAAGCAGAAATTAAGTAAGTTTACAGCAAGTTTATCATTATGGAAAACTTTGATTCCAATTGTATTTTTCAAACGGTAATGGCGGCATTGTTTTTGCAATGGTTTCACAAAATTTGTCGAAAACTGATTGAATCACAATGCATTTGTACACTTGAAACAATTAAATAGTTTTTCATTTGATCTAAATGTTTGAAACATACTTGTTAAAATATTTCGTTTTGAAACCAATTTAATTTGCACTTTTCAGTAGAATCTTTATAAAGGCAAATAAACAAAACGTTAAAAGATTGCACAGGGCCTTTTAAAGATTTTGAGACAAATCGTAAAGACTAGATGATAGCCTATTTATTAATTGAGATAGGAGGAAGCCTTCATGTTAAAGTGTCATTATAGCGGATATATAACTTGACTATGATGAATGGACATCATAAAATATTCATTTCTTTAATGGCTAGAGCTATAATGGAAGTAATAACAGTATCAATTTTAACTCAAGCTTGAAAGGAAGCTACTAGTAAATGGATTTTCCCGACTTCACATCAAATACCTAAAACTGACTTCTTACAGGGGCGTTACCAGGGTCTAAAATTTGAGGAGGTAAATTTCATTTGGCGAGGTAAATTTGAACTAAATAACACATTCATAAGGGTTCATTGACCTGCCCTCACCTCACCTTATGTCTGGCCTCACCTATGACTTTTAGGTGAAAAAAAAATGTTTAAATTACTCAGTCATATTGGTTCCCGATATTCTGAATTATGCTCTAGTCTAGAAAATGAATCATAATTACAACTGAATCAACTAAGTCTGAAAAAACAGATCAATATACTTAGAAATGAGACGAACGCAAAAAAACACTTTATTCAAATTGAAGGATTTTTTGTATATTACAGAAATACAGGAAATCATACTAAAAAATGAAATGAGATGTTAGCAGATGAGAGCAATGAAATATTTCATGTAAGCTATAAAATCCGTTATCTGAAAATATGGATATATAATAACCAGAGTATAGTCACTGGGTGGAAGTGGACCCAATATAAATTAGTGTAGGTACATGTAGCCTCAGGGTCTGAGTTTAACTGATGATGATCAGTTTTTGTCTAATTTTGCACAATTTTGGGAATATGTTTATAACATACCAATCTCAACTTTCAGTGGATATGATTGTAAACTGCCTTGGAACGGAGAAAATACAAATTTTCCTAGATGCTATAAATTGTCCTACATGGGAATCCCACAAACTGAGAAGTGATCCAGTTTGGATGTTCTAGAGTGAGACTTTTTAACTGGGGTAAAAAGACTTGACACAAAAGGCAAAAGATGTATCTATTTTGTTGATATTCCAATTTAACCTATTCTATTTCTTAAAACATACATTTTGCATTTTCTTGCATCGTGACTTTTAAGTTGCGCAAACCACATTGAAACACAACCCCCACAATAATGATCCATACATTTTACATTTATTTCCAAGATTAAAATTACCGTGTCTCAACACTATAAATTCAGTTAAACTTGGAGTCTAATAACCAACTACACTAATTTACAACAGTTCTACTTCCAAACATTGATTGTCATCAGACATTTATCATCGCTAAAAGGACACAATAAGAAGTCATATCAATTGATTCGGAGAACAAAGTAGTGCATAAGAAGTGCTCTTTAATTGGTGTTAAGGCAATGGCTAATGGATTAGACACTGACAGTGAGTAAAGAAAAATTCCAATCCATTGTTAACATTGAGTGAAAAATGGGAGATAAAACATTGGAATTATTTGACTCTGGAGTCTGGAATAAAAACTGGTGCTATAGATGGTAAAGAAAATGTTTCTTTTCTAGAAATATACCATGAAGGGTGAATATTTCATCATGATAAACTAATAAATCGTCAATTTGATCGCAGAGGATATATCAAAACAGTATTTTGATTGATTGGGGTTTCTTACTTTCATTATTAATATCACACAATTAACAAGATATAAAGGGTGTGTCACAAATGATACATTTTATATATAACATTTCTTTAATCATTAAAGTTAGTTCCATGAAAGATGATCAACTATTTATATTGCTCTAAAGATTTTGGCCAAATACTTTCAAATTAAAAAACTATCTAATAAATAAGAAATAAATAATAAATAAATATATACTGGGTAGATAAAAATGAACACCCAGCTCAATTTTATTTTGATTTCTCGAGATTAGATATCAAAATAAACAATACTTTGCAGTCCCGACCTGTATCTCCATATATAAACATCAAACACTATTAATCACACAGAAACCAAAATGAAAATAACTGTAGAAGAAGTCAAAAGGGGAGGTACGCCTAATATTGAATTTGTCACGGCAGACAAAGATGAACAAAGAGATAAACCATTTCCAAAGTCCAAATGGAAGGAACTAAGAATTTACAAACATTTGTCGCACCTATTCTTTGGATTGAAAATCTTAGGGATGTATTACCATGACGATCGGGAACCATCGGAGAAAAGGCGGTGCATTTACTGGCCAAAGATTGTGGCAATATGCGCCAATATTGTAGTATGGTTTAATGCCATAAGGCAATTTTCTTCATACAAAATTGAAAAATTTGGAAACGACCTATTCATTAAGCTGCTGTACCACGGTTGGATTATCATGATAGCGCTCATGATTACCGGGAGTAGCTGGAAGGCCCCTAAGCTTAAAAGTTTCCTAGTTTTGTGGTACAATTTTTGTGGGAAATTCTACACTAAAGATGCAACAGTTTACAAAATGGCTGCAAAAATGAGAAATGTGTGCAGAGTGTTAGCCACTATAGGATTGGTGACTTTTGTTGTTAGTGTTGTTTTCACTATAGCAACAGACATGTATGATAAATTATTAAATTACTTCATCAAACCTTTTGACAAATATATCACAGATGTTGTGATTTTAAAGATTCTATATGTAATTATCATGATCCTCCAAAGTGCATCCTCGTTTATATGGTTTCTACTGAACTTCCTGTATGGCGGATGTGTATCCATTATGAGGCATGAATTCTCAAAATTCAACAAGGCTTTTAAGGAATATGTGGAAAAGGCATCTGGAATTCCCGATGAGCAGTTTGAACAGTTGCGATACCGCCATCAACAACTCTGTGAACTAATCAATATTTTGGATGATATTTTTGCGCCATATGTGGCCTTGACCTTTGCAATATGTATACCAACAATTTGCTTGACAATATACATATTGTTTACTGGATATCCTGATGGAGTTACATTTGTATCCATTGTAATTATGGCGATATTCAACTTAGCTCAGATATGCTACATAACGACCCATGGGGCACTCCTAAATCATTATGTGAGTAAAATAGGTAGATTTTATTCTGAAAATTTAACAAAATGTGTTACGCTAAGAATATCAATTAATCTGAAACATACGATCGAATCCATTACATGTATTTATTATACTTTATTGTTAATTATTAGGCCTCTAAGTCTATAACTACAACGAAGGAACCCCTAATCTGAATGATCGTTTCAGACGTCACAAATACACAGATTAGACAGGTTTACTATACATAATAGTCATTTTTAACTATTTCAGGCCCACTATTGTGTGGATGATGTGTACAAGATGAGACTGGGTGGAATCAAACAGGACTTGGTCCAATTAGTACAAATCTTCACGCAAAGACTGACAGGGAGTCCTATAGGAATCACATGTTGTTCACTTTTTGCACTGGACAAGCCCACAATTCTTACAGTAAGCATTTATAGTATTGTAGAAGGGGGGGGGGGGGTTGTATATGTGTATCTGCCATCATGAATTTCATTATCCAATATGTTAAATTCAGAACTTACATGGTTGTAATTTCATAAGCCAAGATAAACAGTTTTTATATTATTCATTTCAGTTACTTGGCACAGTGGTCACCTACAGTGTTGTAATCCTGCAGTTCAAAGAGACCCCTCCAAGTGATACAACAAGTGGCAACATTACAACATCAATAGTGAACAACAATTGCACATGCTATTGTACATAACACGCCTGTCAGTGTTCCTGCAGTTCAAAGAGACCCCTCCAAGTGATACAACAACTGGCAACATTACAACATCAATAGTGAACAACAATTGCACATGTTATTGTACATAACGCACATGTCATTGGTGAAAAACATTTTCTGATTCTGATTGTGTCAGGTTAGATCTAATGAATTTCTCTAATTCTGAGAATGCAGAATGATTTATTCGGAAGAAACTAAGTTGGAACTACTTAGGGGGTAGGGGGCGTGGGGCACATCCCCCTGCCTTGGATGGGCCCAGAAAAACTTTTTAGTAGGGCCTCAATTAGTGGGCCTTTTTGAGCATCACTTTTAGGCAAAATTGACTTGTTAGATTTTGGATCCACGCGTGCTTCTTAAACCATGCAATTATCTGAAATCGAGTCACATAACGTGTGATTGGTGGATGAGATCAGATAGTGTGAACAAATGATGACAGATCAATGAAATTGTATTGAATTCTGAAGGATGTGCATGCCATTATTTTATGCTTAAAATGTCTAATATCTTTTTGTTTTGTTTTTGCATTGAAAAAAAGAGCTATAATTATGTATTATACACTGATCTTTGTATTATACTGTCAACATTTCACTAAAAACTTTTAGGAATTGTTTGAAACTCAATGAATTGTTCTACAAAAATTTATGGGACGAAACGTTATACTGGTTTTCTGAGGCATTTTCACCGTTAAACTTGCAAAACCTGGGTGAAGTGCTTTGAGACCTTTGAAAAGGAAACAATCAATTTTTCAATAATCTCAAAAAAATTTTGAAATCATGAAAAATAGTAAATGAATGATAAAAACGTATTGTCAAACTTTACACACACCTTTAAGCTTCAAATGAGTCATAAATAATATAATTAGATTGATATGATTACACAAATTAAGTGCACACTTTAAAATCTATGTTTGACTTTGTAATTTTTCACACGCCTGCACTGTGTGTCCAAAGTCTAACTTGGACCATAGCAAGGCAAAATGCCTTTTTGCAGAACCAAAGACATCATACCTACACAGGTTTTATGGTACTTTTTATTTTCCTTTAGGGAAGTCTCATGTTATTGAATCAGATAAAACCTTAATGAATAGATGATGGATCCTGTCGTCATATAAATTGCGTAAGCCTTCAATTTACAAGTGAGATCTTTAGAAAGTGTATAACTTGTATTGTTTGGTTAACACACCTTTGTCATAAAATATTCATTTCTTAATGGAAAAAGCTGTCAGTAATGGAAGAAATATTGGTTTCAATAAAGAACTATCTTGCAAAGTAAGTTGTTTTAACAGATAAGGTTTAATGGAACATTCTAACATTTAATGGTTAAACATGAATTCCAATGTTATATATGGGACTATTTACCATTTAAAATTAAATGAAATTTAATTTAATTTAAACATATTATGCTATGAGTTTGTTTGATATTCCAGCGTGCCCTTCTTTACCAATGACTAATAATCATGATGCAACATGTTGAGTTAATGTTGAAATTGTGCTTTGAAATAATATGAAGGTATAGTACCTTTATTTATAGAACTGAAAATGTTTTTTTATAGCTGTTATGTAATTTTCTAAAGGATGATTCTCGGTTTGGAGAACGAAGTTAATCAATCTAAATGAGAATTATCCCTGCTTCGGACAAATTTCATTTTTTTACATAATATAGATTTGAATGTCTTCTTTTGAATAGTCATAATTTAATTTGGGTAATATTTCTAGATTTTTCACAAAAAAATATTAGCGTAGTACACTGAAGAACTTTTTTCCCCAAATCGAGACTTGTATTTTATTGAATCGGTTTAATTGAGCGTTATCCCTGCTTCAGACCAATTTGTTATTTTTACATCTTGTAGATTTAAATGTCCTTTTTTGAAAATTCATAATTTAATTTGGGTAATATTTCTATATTTTTCATAAAAAAATTATTAGCCCAGGAGACTGTTCTCCAAACCGAGAATCGTCCTTTGTTAATTTTAGATTTTTCAAATTTGATTTAATTTCCAATTTGACATAATTTTGAAACATGTAAGATTATTATGGACAGCATGCATTTGAATGAGATATCTTGTACAAAATTGGTGAATCGTTAAATTAAGGCATCAAATTAAAAAAAAATTACAGTATTTTTGCCATTTAATTTGTGCTCCCACTAGATGAGAAAGATAACAGCTAATATTAAGTGGATTAAGTGTGTAAACAACTAAATGATGGGATATATTTCATAACTTTTCAAAGCAGCAAGTGAAAAATGATGTAACACAATTATAGCTATTACGTATATTGTAAATTATCATACATTAAAGGGGCAACAAGGATTGTAGAGAGAAAATTCCAATTTTTTTTATTTTTTCTGAGCTCTCAGGTCAATATTTGGCTTAACACCTTCTTATGCCTATTCTCTTAAAATGTATGTATAAACTATCAATTTAGCATTAAGAAGTGTAAATTCAGTTCAAAGCTTCTATAAAGGAAGTCCCACTTATAGATTTTTAAGATCCGCCAAGTTTCAAGAGGAATATCAGCTGAAATAATGTTCATCCTGGGGGTTTCTTTGTAGATAATAAAAATATATGTTAGTTTTGATGAAATATCCAAAATTAAATATATTTTGACACTGGTCAATGATTGTTGAATGCCCCCCCCCCCCCTGCAGTAATTGTTGTACCTTTAATTATAACATGGGCTTTCAATTAGAGTTGAAAGCCTGTGATTATAACGAGCCAGCTTTAAATTAACAACCATTACGTCGCAATTAGAAGCAAATATTGACACTTAAGAAGGTAAATTCAAAATGGGAAACTGATTTATTTCTACTTAATATTCCATGATGTATGAGTGAATATCACACTTAGAAATTACAGCATTGGACTTGATACGTCAATAGCGATGTTTAAGAGAGGAAAACAATACAATACATTCAATATGCTGAGATAATTGCAATTAAAACTAAAAGCAAAACAATTATTGCTTAATGGAAAATTACGAAGTAAAAGTGTTATATTGGTTTCTGATAATTTGGATAACACGTTAGCTTCAGAACGAAAAGTTAGTCAACAATAACGTACAAAGAAATCGGTTGAAGATACAGAAAAATAAACTGAAAGGAATCAGTCACATGAAAAAATCGCTAAATTAAATACTACGACGGTTCCCAAAATTCCCAGAAATTCGACATGATTTTCGTTCGGTATATTTCCAGTTATAACAAAGATTCCAACATGGCCAGGCCAGTTAAATATTGATCGAAACAACAAGGAATATTGAAGAAAATTATATAAACAACAAGGAATATTAAAGAAATTGTTCAACAACAACACTGACAATGACTATTTTGAATTTTGTTATACAGGAGGATGTTGGGGACACTTGAAAAACTGCCAAATTAAATAGACGCCAATATGTCCAAAAATACAAAATTGCCAAAGACAAATAAAGTATCAGATTAATTATACAATTTCTGGTATATAAAAAATACAAAGGAAAGTACAATAAAATTGCAAAGGAAAGTTATGAATGAAAAGACAAATGATCTGAGCCAGAATGTTATGGTAGGCATTCATCATCTTAGACAAATAGTTATAACCTCATTGGAAACAGAAAACACAAAAGTGCACTAACGGTGCTTTTTTCATTAATTAAATGGATGTTAAGATTGACGGATAAAACATTAATGGATATGTAAGAAAAATTGCAGCACATAAAAGCAATGCCACTTAGGTCGACACCAAGCATAATGCTGAATTCATAACAACTAACCATTACTTAAAAATAAATGGAAAAAATGGTAAAATAATGGAAACATTATTGTGATTGATTGGCATCCCTTGGCTTCATATTAACCTCACTCAACTAACTTAAAGTACAGAGTAGGTCAAAAGAAGTATACATTTATGATTCATATTTAATTTTTTCAGGTTACAGGTAAGATAATCTACTACAACTGATATAGGTCTAAAAGTTTGAACCTTTTCAAATTTCCGGAAATTAATCTTAGAAATATCTGACATGCAAAGCACACTGTGTATAGAAAAACCATTACAACTGAAGTTTTATTTTGAAATTTATTTTGACTTGAGGTCAAATATAAAAGTGCATATTTTCTGCCCACCCTGTACCTTCATACATATATGCCAAACAATTTTATTTACACAGCATAACAAGATGAGAATAACCGTAGAAGAAGTCAAGAGGGAAACTGCACGAAATATTGCATTCATGGAAGACAAGGATGAGAAGAAGGATGAACCATTTCCAAAGATTCAATGGAAGGAACTAAGGATTTACAAATATTTATCACATCTATTCTTTGGGATGAAAATCTTAGGGATGTATTACCATGACGATCGGGAACAATCGGAGAAACAACGGCGCATTTACTGGCCAAAAGTTATGGCAGTATGTACCAACATTAGTGTTTGGTTTAATACAATACGGCAATTTTCTTCATATGAAATTGAAAAATTTGGAAATGACCTATTTATAAAGCTGCTATACCATAGCTGGCTTATAATGATAGCGTTTATGATTACTGGGAGTAGCTGGAAGGTCCCTAAGCTTAAAGATTTCCTAGTACTTTGGTATGATTTTTGTGGAAAATTTTACACAAAAGACGCACAGGTGTACAAGATAGCTGCAAAAACGGAGAAGATATGTAAAGTGCTGGCTATCCTCGGAGTAATTAGTGTTATTATTGTTGATTCATATGCTATTGCAACTGGCATCTTTGATGAAGTAGGAAATTTATTCATCAAACCTTTTGACAAATACATCACGGATATTGTGACTTTAAGAATTCTTTATACAATTATCATCATCCTCCAAAGCATATCATTATTCACATGGTTTCTGTTGAACTTCCTGTATGGTGGATGTGTAACCATAATGAGGGATGAATTCTCACAATTTAACAAGGATTTTAAACTGTATGTTAAAAAGGTATCTGGAATTCCTGATGAGCGATTTGAACAATTTCGATACCGCCATCAACAACTTTGTGAACTAACCGATAGTGTTGATGATATTTTTGCGCCATATGTGACCTTGACCTTTGCAATATCAATCCCTGCAATTTGCTTGACAATCTATATTATATTTACTGGGTCTCCGGATACAGTGACATATTTAACCATTATATTTATGGCAGTATTCCACTTAGCACAGATATGCTACATAATTACCTACGGGGCACTCCTTAACCATCATGTAAGTGAGATAGAGAATTATTATACTCTGCAAATTTTCAATTTTTCATTGTTTTCTTTGCAACTAAATTTGTCATAATGGGCATTTCCTCACAATACATTGCTTAGGAAACATTTGAGAAGTGCATAATTCATCTATAGAAAGGCTTCAAATATAAATAAACTGAATTACAAAAAATATTTTCAGCTTGGTTAAAGCTGGACATCGCTCAAAAACGCAATATGTTGACATATATTGTTTTACATTTTTAAGCTCTAATATAAAGTTTATGTAAATAAAAATTGTTTTTTCTGCGTTATATCAAAGAACAATCATTTAGTAAAAAAAAATAAAACCGGGCCTCCCGCGTGCTAAACGAGAATTGTACCCCTAGACCACCGTCTTCTAATGAATGTTGGAAGTAATTTAACGCTACTTATTTTGAATGCTATGATTCGGAAGTGACGTCACGTTCTTCATTTAGAAACTTTTCCAAAATCATATCGTCGGCGCCGATCGAAGCAATTCAATGAATAATCTTTGAAATGACACATTTATCATAAGTATTTCTACACAAGATTTGCCCCATTTGTTCATCATTCTATAATCTTTCATTAGGCTCAAAATGATAAAGTTCACCCCCGAAACCAACCCAAGATTGCGTTTCGGAGCGCAGTCCAGCTTTAAAATAACTTTGAAATGTAAACTAAAACCAATCTGAGCTATTTTGGCAGAGAAATGTTTCGATTAGAAAGGTTCTACGATATATAAAAATCATCTACCACTATTTCAGGCCCATTGTTGTGTGGCTGATGTGTACAAGATGAGACTGGGTGGAATCAAACAGGACTTTGTCCAATTAGTACAAATCTTCACGCAAAGACTGACAGGGAGTCCTATAGGAATCACATGTTGTTCACTTTTTGCACTGGACAAGCCTACAATTCTTACAGTAAGCAATTTGTGGGAAACTATGGAGATAAGCAAAAAATAACTCCCCAGTCACATCAAACAGTCTTCAATACACAAATCTACTGAAAACAGAGTGAAATGAAAATTGATTACAATCCTTTATAAATATCTAGAAATCTTGTTGTCGAGTCCTTCAAAACTATTTCGTTTTGATTGTATTCTCTTTAAATTACGACTGACCATATAGTTTGGTCAGGATTGGTCTATCTTATGAATAGGATGAATGTGTAACACCAGAAAATATTTGAACAGGCACAAAGTTTTAAATGCACAATCATGAAGATCTCAAAGCTAATAACTAACATCAATTCACTGTCACTGGGGGCTAGGTAGGGCAGCCTAAAAACATAAGATAATTTATTAAGAGTTAATTTTCTAGTAAAGGTTCTTGTAACATTTTGTTTGTTCAGATTCCAGTCAAAAATGTATCGATTTAACAACAATAATATATGGCCCACAAAATCATAAGTTATAAAAAGCAAAATACCAAAATACCCTTTTATAGTTCATCTGGCCTAGAGTGTTTAGCCAATGAATATCTTATTAATTTTAATATTTTTAATATATATTAAATTCATCAGGGTTGTCATACATGAAGTCAAAAGCAAAGGTAAATAGTTGTTTATTATTTCATTTCAGTTACTTGGAACAGTGGTCACCTACAGTGTTGTAATCCCGCAGTTCAAAGAGACCCCTCCAAGTGATACAACAACTGGCAACATTACAACATCAATTGTGAACAACAATTGCACATGTTGTTGTACATAACACACCTATCAGCTGAGAAAAGCATATTTTGTCCCCCAAGGGTGATGGTAATTTTTATCTTCTGTATAGAACAGATAATTATTAAAAAATGTTAATGCTACAAAGATATTAATATTCCCAAAAGTAGTTGGTAATTTTCCTTTTATGAAGGGTTGCCGATCATGAAATAAATGGCAGAGGCATATGAAGCCATAATATTACATTTATTTTGACAGTGCTGATTCAAACTTGAACAAGGAATGATATGACTGTATATGAAAATTACATCACAAAACTCCATTGAGTTTCATCAATGGGGTATTATTTATGCTTACAATCAGAACACATAAATAATTGGAATCTAGATTTTACTCGGTTTAGTTGGAATTGAATGATATTAAAGAAATTGAAATTGTGTCTACCATTTTGGATTATACTTTTTATGGATTATGCATTTTTTGGTACAATTTGTTCCCAGTTTATGCTATGCGTATGGGGCTTCTTCTACAATGGCACCCAGTTGGTGAGACCATGTGAATCAACAGATATAAGGACTCATTTGTTGGTTCAGCTGGCAAATATACTACAACTATTCTTAAACATGTTCTTCAGGTTGGATTATCAAATCACAAAAATATTTTTTTCTTCTTTTCACAACCTTTATTTTACTAAACAGGACGTTTCGGAAGCGCTTCAGTTCAGTTTTTCTACAGTTGAAAAAGGATCCAGACAGGATCCGAAACTTCCTGTTTAGTAAAATAAAGGTTGTGAAAAGAAAAAAAGTATTTTTGTGGTACTACAACTATGTTTTAGCATCCAATTTTAAGTTTGTTGAAATTTTATTTTAATGCGTTTAAGGTCTTTGGATCTCTGAATGGAATGAAAAATCATTTTCTGAAACATGACAGTGTGATCTTTGATCTATTTCCATTTTGCCATACACAATAAATTATGTTAATCAGATATGTCATGACCTTTTTTTCACCAATCATAAATCAGAACAAAGTATGATATAAAAATCTAAAGTAATACCTCGACTTAGGACTATTCACCACAGGCTCCACAGGAGGTATCACAATCCCAAGATCCTCAATGGTCTTATCCTCTCTGAAACATAAAACACAACTGTGTTCTTATTTTGGGATAATTTCTCATCACTACTTTGATAGTTATTTTTCTAATGTTTCGAAATTCACAGTCATTTTTCTTCAACTTGCTTCAAGTTTAAAGACGCAAACCAACAAATGCAAAACACAAACAGCAAAGTGCCGAACACCATCCACAAAAAGGTTAGAGACAACAACATTTCACCACATGTGATTATGACATAAAAAGAAGGATAAAAATGTAAATACTGTTGCTATATTCTCAAGAGAGAAATCTCTCTGACTGGTTGCAAGTAACTTTACTAATTGAATCTTATTACATGTATACATGGGTGTAGCTCCCCACAACCCCCACAAAGGAGAGACAAAGTTATTTTGTAGAATTTGTTGAGAAAACATTAACAAATCATAGTTTGAAATGCTGCACCCTCTACAATATAATATTAAAATTACAAGAGGTGAGCCAACATACCCCGTTTTTTGGCTCGCTTCGCTTGCAATGATGCAAACCTAAAAAATTGCACTCCCTTGATATTTGTTGGCTACACCACTGGTATATTTATCAATTCAATTTAACGATATATTGGGAGTAGGTATCTTAGGTAATATATGGAGGAGAATACATTCAATGACTGCATATTGTATTTTTTCTCTCATAACCAATTCTAGCTAATGTATAATGTCATAAACTGATATTAGATGAAATAAACAGAATCTTTAAGTTAATGACTGCAGAGACTTGTATATGTATGTAACTTACTCTTCTTTTTGTTTATCATCGTTTTCTGTACCTGGAGGCAGGGGCTCTTCCTCAGGAACCTTAGTGCCATCTATCCTTAAATCACAAAAAATAATCATAGTTTGATGAATCAACTATATGAACTAGTAATACAGACAGTTCAATGTATCATCATAAGACTCCACTCTGTCAAAATAGTAACTTGTTTAAATGACAGTGTAAGAAACTGTAATGAAGGCATCAAATACAGATGACAAAATGCCACAACCTGGTTGCAATTACAAAACTGTATCTAAAGCATCAGAAGGTGAATGTCAATGTGGCTATAACAATATATCACATTTTCTTGGTCACAATGTAAAAATGGGATCATTGCAAACGAGGTTCCATTTTATGATTAAAGGTATGATTATGGGTAAAGGGAAGTACTAATACACAAGAAATGTTCAATGAATAAACACGAGGCTCCACTTAAACAGATTCCATTTCATAATTAAAGGTACAGTACATGTATCATTATTGATAATGGGAAGAACTGGTCCAAAGAACAAAGGCAAAACTTCTCCATATCAACAGACAACAATGTAAGGGGAAGCTTTGTAAAAAATTCTACCCTGCTACAGAGTCTAGTTATAAACTATCCTCTACCTAGTATAGACTATATTACAGTTAAGCAGTCCCGCCCCCACGAACTATGGTCGTGACAGCCCAGGACCTAGATTATTTAAAAAAACGATCACGCTGATTTTTCTCAACCAATCAGTGAGCTGAAAGGACCACATGCTTAATGCATACTTATTAACTATGCGATAACGTCAGAGGAAATGACCATAAATAGAAAGGTGTTCATATTCCAAAGACAAACTCTGAATGGGTCTGTGAGTTCAGAGATTTATTGTCAACTGAAAGAGTGAAGACGAATCTTCTAGAAGCCAAGTCAAACGAATGCAAAGGGTAAAAAATTTACTTACTTTTTCTCATCATTCACAATATCATCATCAATATCAGATCCAAAGAAGCTACTCCCACAAGAGTATTGATCATCCTCCTCTATGTGGATCTGGCTGGCTAGGAAGTCATTTATCGCCTTCTCGATAAGCTTTACAGGAGGTTCCTCTTTCTTTGGTGGGATCACTTGTTTTGGATTTTTGGTTTCTTCTTCATCAGAGTCTGTTATGTGACCCTGGATATTGGGGTCATCTATAAAGAATTATTGAATGAGTTATATTCTTGGAGGTTTTAGATACATGATTCATCCCACAGAAAATATACACTGTATCCATCTGGCCCCCTAGATACAAGTTTATACTATACAGTAAAACCTGTTTTTGTAAACACCCCTCGGTCTCTAGTGAACAAATGTGTCTTGTAAACACCCGTTCTCAGCACATACCTCATTGACTCCTGCATAAAATTTCCTCTCTGCAGTGAACATCCACCTACAGTTAATATGTTTTTGTGCCGCCAAAGGTGTTCAATGCACACTGGTTATTCTTTATAATTGGATGTTATCTACCTTGAATTACCTCAATACGTATGGAATTTGTTGGTCTCGTTAGAAAAGCCAATCACATCTTATATGAAAAGCTTTGAATTTTAATCATATTTTGTACAATTTTACTTAGCTGTCCAACAAGACATTGAGGGTGATTTTTTTGTGGCAAAAATCTAAAATTTCTCTCAAACATCTAAATAGCATTTACCTGGTTTTGAAATTTTGGCTGAGATACTTTCATCTTCTGTGGGGTGTTTTACTCTTTGGCTGGAAGTGTCTTCTTCAGACAAGTTAGATTTTTGCTCTTGTTCCACTTCATCAATCACAGACAGGATGTCTATTGGTTCAGCATCGTTTTCACTTGCATTGTTGGTATCATCAGCATTATCCGTCTCCTTATGAACTGATTTTTCATCAGATTCAACACACTCGTCAATTTGAAATATATCCAGTTTATCATTTTTCACTGGCCTATCTAACTCTTTGTTAGTCTTAACTGAAGCATTCTCATTTGCATCTTTTCTTGTTTCATTTGTCTTGTCAACGATAGCATCTTTCTTGTCCTCAAATATGGCTGGCTCGTTGGACGAGTCATTCTCTGTCTCTGCCTGGGGCTTATCAGTGATTGAATCTTTTATATCTTGGCCCTCAATATTGTCTACTTCCATTGGACTTTCATCAACATCTGGTGATTTTTCATTGGAATCTTGTTCTTCACTGAAAACAAGTACTGTACAAGCAAACAGTATATCAAGCACCATTTGGTGATACAAAAGTCCCCCAAAGGTAAGGGCAAGTAGGTCAAATGTTGATGCTTGGAGCCAAGGACAGACTAATATAGTCCATTTCAATTGGGTTGTGTTTTTATAAAACATGAAATATAAGCAATCAAAAATACCAAAGTGCGGTATCATTTCGAAAAATTACATTCATTACCTTTTGTAGACAGATCAACTAAATAATATTCTTGAAATGTATGACAAGGCAAATCTTCAGGAAACTTTTATCCATCACAAAATTTTTCACTAAAACTGCTCTTATTTGAAAAATCTTCATCCAATTTACACAAAGATTATTTTAAAATGTGTAGAAATGATCTTTGCCATCTAATTTTACTAAAATGAGCACCAAATTTCAAAAACTGGCAAAAATGAAAAATTCACTGGTTTCAATCGATTTTAGAGCCTGGGATTCAAGAGGTTAATAAGATATCATAACATTTTGATATTTCAAGGTAACATATTTGAAAATATATAGTGATGATGGCAAATGAATTATATAAAGACAAAACCATGACGGGATATTTCTAGATTTCTTTGAAAAACTAAATATAAACAATGAACATATTTTTTCACTTCAGAATTTGAATAATGCATTTTAGGTCTGATTCCCTAAAAAATTCAAAACATACAAAAGTGATCAAGATATCAGGGTACATAGGGGCTTTCCAGAACACGGCGCATTGTTGGACGATCTAATAATCCATTGTTTTGTTTGATTTCTTTATCGAAACTTGAAATTAGACACATTATAATACTGAGATATGCATTGCAAAGAGTCTTAAAGTGGGGGACAAAAAGAAACCTCAACCATCAAAAGTTGTCACAATGAGCTAAATTCCAAGTTTCGTGTCTCAAAATCTCCCAACCCAAGCGGTAAAAAAATAATTCCCGTTCACTTTAAGTAGCACAATAAATGAATCCAAAGCTTCATAACTGCAAATGATGGATAAATCCCTACCAAATCGAACAAATGTTTTTATGAATCACAATGTTTGTGATCCAAGGAGGATTGACTCCCAGAATGCAACATCAGTTAACCTTATTTACTCGTGATAGGTTTCAAAATGGGGAACAACATTTTAAAAGCTGGCACGGGTCATGTTGCATTCTGGGAGCCAATCCTCCGTTATGGCGTAATCGGGCTACAAAATCACTTCAACATTAACATTAAAATTAACATGTGAATATCCACTTCAACTTTTTAAGTTTTTATTTGTCATTATGGACACAAATTCCACTATATTTGGACTTACTAGGACGAGAAAATAAAGCACTGAATACTGTGGTAAGAATTTATTATATAATACTCTTACATGCCAATGCCAAAGAGTTTCATCTGATTTGTACAGGAATCCCCTGTGGCCGATATTGCCCCTATGTACTCAAATTTGAATCTCCTGGATTGCTGATCATGAAAAGACGACCAAAATTTGCGATTCAAATTCTGGAATGAAGAAATGGTGCCTGTTGGATTTCAAACTTTGTGATCACGACATGACTCTATATATGGCAGAATATCGAGTTGGGACCCTAGGAGCCAATCCTCCTTCATATAAAATAATGAAATAAAAAATTGAAACAAATTTAAACACATGCTATCTATTGCAAGACTAACGCCTGGTGTAACCGTCACCATGTTATTCGGTGTTTTTTAAGTAGCGCAAGGATCCTGCCATGACCGTGGCAGTGTTAATTTGTAAGCCTGGTATAACCGTGACAACGCTGTATTATATTGCAAGGCCTGTCATGACCGTGAGTGTTATCGTGGAAGCCTGGCGCGGCCGTAGCATTTACGTTTAATTTAAGAATTTTTTATTGTTGTTTGTTAAGCGATTTGTTTGCTATCCACTTTTAAATATTTGTATATTTTATGTCTCCGGTCTAAATTGTTAGTCAACTCGTACCCAAGACAACTCGTACCCAAGACAACTTGTACCCAAGACAACTCGTACCCAAGATAACTCGTACCAACGTTTATTTTCTGTATTACGGGTGCATATAAGAAAACAAATTGAGTCTGTGTCAAAATGTTTAATGTTATAATGTGCCTCAATATTTTTTCTGAATTTAGAAGACATTTTTTCTTAATGGATTAAGCAAAGCATTTTAACTTGGATTACCTTTGAAGTGCTTTGAAGGGCTTGTTCTCAACTTTTTTTGAAATACATATATATAAATGAATATAATTAAAACAGTAACTTTTCAACAAATGAATCAAACAATTTATTTAGCTTAGTGCATTCAGAGAAAATTAATAAGGGAACTTTAATCTGTTAATTTCTTTTCCATTTTGAACTTAATTGGATTATATTTGAACACATGCATGCAAAGTGCATTATATCATGTATGAATAAGTATCAAAATAATATTTGATATTCATATTATTTAGAATATTTTTTATTGCTTAATTTTATGAAGGTGACTTCTTAGAATTATCATTCTTTAATCTGATAATATGAAATCCTAAATAGATTATCTGTTTAATAAGAAATAGGCGCAAGTTTTGAAAATCTTTACATTTTTGATAATACCAGATTTCAAGATGAATTAGATCTGATACTTGTTCCAAACACTCATTAACATACAAAAATACCACTAATATTGTGAACAATGATTATGAATAAGTGGAATAAACATAAATCTTTTTCCTCGAACATCTGAATCTGTGACCAATATATTTGGTCACAAATTTCAATCAATTTCTTCCAAAAACTCTTCTACATACTTCAACTATTCTGAACTGTATGTAACCGTTATAATATGTATATCTATACCCATTCCCAGCCCAACACTTGATTCAAAACAAAACATGTACTTGGGTATAAGTTGTCTTGGGTACGAGTTGTCTTGGGTACGAGTTGTCTTGGGTACGACTTGACTTGGGTACGAGTTGTCTTGGGTACGAGTTGACCAGTTACCCCCTAGTACTAGTCATTGCAATACATTATCACGGACTAAGCCTAAATTTCTACATGACCACCCACATCTGTGGCCTTGCAATACTATATTACATTGTCACGGTCATGGCAGGCCTTGCAATACTATATTACCTTGTCACGGTCATGCCAGGTTTTGCAATACACATTGTCACGGTTATGGCAGTCCTATCATAAATTATTGCAAGGCCTGTCATGACCGTGGTAATGTTAAAGCCTAATATGACCATGACAATGCTTATAAGGCCTGTCATGACTGTGGTAATGTTAAAGCCTGATATGACCGTGACAATGCTTGCAAGGCCTGTCATGACCGTGAAAATGCTATATATCATATTGCAAGGCCTGTCATGACCGTGGTAATGTTGAAGCCCCGTATGACCGTGACAATTGTTGCAAGGCCTCTCATGACCGTGGTTGTATTTAAAGTAGCATGAGAACACTGTAATGACAATTTTTCTTCGTGTTTAACTACCTTAAATATGTAAATAAAGACCTCTAAAAATGTGTATTAATTTCACAACGAAAACCTAATTTTTACTCATAAATAATTTGCGAACAAACTATATCTCTACTCTCATTCAAGGAGCTTCGATTCGAAAGCATATACTTTCTATAATGATCAATTAAGATTTATTCATAAAAATGCCAACAGCATTGGGCAAAACATGAAGGTCATTAATGTCATATAAAGGTTGCGGTCGCGCCAGGCTTACACGATTACTCTACCACGGTCATGGCAGGCATTTTAATATAATACAGCATTGTCGCGGTTATACCAGGCTTTCACGATAACATTACCACGGTCATGGCAGGATCCTTGCGCTACTTAAAAACACCGAATAACATGGTGACGGTTACGCCAGGCGTTAGTCTTGCAACAGATAGGGTCTCAATTTAAATTATCACGAGACCTGGTTTATCATTGAATAATGTGAAAAAACGAGTGCAAACAGAGCAAAACCATACCTCGGCACCTCTGTAGTATCCATAACTAAATCATACAATTGATTTTGGTTTCATATATGTGCTTATAAGATAGCAAAAAGAGAAATCGTTGAAATATACTGTAATTTTAATTTCACTCTATTATCGCCCAATGAGTGACGTCATTGTGCGCAAACTAGGTGGCGCAATAAAATTTTAGACTTCCGGTTGTCAGAAGTCCAAAATTCAACTTCAATTTACATTCAAATTATTCATTTTATAATGGTAATGATATGTATATGACACTGTTGAGAGGTTACTTATACCAAGATGCGTGTGTAATTAGAAAATCAATCAATTTGGGTATGGCAAAGTAGATAAAGGTGAGTTGAATGTATTCTCCAAAAAATTTTCAGGATGTTCATTCATGTTGGTTGATTCATCATAACAAAATAAATCGATCATCTTTCAAGGTCGTCTTTGTATTCCTACCTTGCAAGAGGGTCAAGATTACAGATAAATTCCCATTTAGGACCATTATAACGTTTCATCTCATAATATATTCGTGGGCACAGATCTAGCTCAGCGAAACAGTGCCGTTTAGTGTTCATTTGAGTCTTGTCTAGCTTGCTGTTACAGTGCAAGATGATGATACGGAGCTCACACCGTTTTTGAGATAACTAAATCTGGAGATAGCTATAGTCAAAACAGAAATGTTTGTGACTACTTTGTTTTAAAAAATAAGCAATCAAATGACCATATTGAAACAGTTTATGTAAAAATAGAAACATTTACACGTATATTTATCCTAACTTTTGTATATTTCAGATAGTAATGTATAATGTGCAGCAAATCTGTGGCCTTTTGTAATTTAGGGAGTTTCAGCCACGTTAATTTTTCCGAAAATAACATGGACCTACAGTATTTGTAAGATAGTTTGATAAACAACATGGTTTCTAGAAGGTAGACACTAAAACTAGGATTTATTGAGGTCAAATGGCAAACTACACATTAGTGATGGAGGATGGCAAACGGAAATGTAAACTTCCAAAGTTCATATCATTACATCCCCCTTCTAAGAATAAACTATACTGTTCTTTAAAAATATCCATGATACTAATCTAATAAATCAAAGTCCTTTATGTGAACCTATATTACTACTTATAAGAATATGCAATGTTAACTTAATAAGGCTCAATGTTTTTATGTTACAACCAGTCCTTTTGACTCCTTATCACTGGTATCTTAGTGGTTTAACGACAGTCCTTCCATACCGTGTTCTCCTAGGTGGAGTTGCTTCAGGTTGGGCACTTGGAGACAATGGAGTCTGATCAGGCACTGGGGAACTGGGCAAGGGACTGAAGGGAGTCTGATCAGGACCTACAGCCATGGGCATGGGGTGGGTAGAGCCTGAGTCAAGGTTGGGATCGAGTTTATCTGGAATTGGGATATCCTGGTTGCTGGTAGTTTTCATAGGGATATCAAACTCCTCCTTGGTCTTTCTAATGTCCTTTCTATTTCGACGCAAGGTGTTTCCCAAGGAGTTTCTTACTTGGTAAGAACGGGGATGTGAATCATGTGCTACCACCATAGCTGGTTTCCACTCTTCTCCACTCTTATATCTGACCATTTCATTTGGCTTTAAGACTGGCAGATCTTTTCCCGCCTTCTGATCGTAAAATCGTTTTTGTGTTAGTTTTCTTTGTTCTAGCTTTTGTGGAACATCTTTGACCACTTCGGGAGTCAAAAGCTCTGGATTAATTGGGAGACGGGTCCTGGTGCGTCGGGACATAAGAAGTTGTGATGGGGAAGCACTAACTCCATCTATGGGCGTATTTCGTAACTCCAACAGAGCCAAGTATGGATCTCTTTTATCTTCATGTGCTTTTTTAAGAATGTTTTTTGTTGTCTGGACAGCCTTCTCTGCGGCGCCATTGGACTGGGCGAAAGTTGGAGATGATGTATCGTGTTTAAAGCCATATTCGGTTGCAAACTCAGAGAATTCATGGCTAGAGTATTGGGGCCCATTATCAGATCGCACTTTCTTCGGTATGCCATGTCTAGCAAACTGGGACTTCAGAGCGTTTATAGTTGTTTTCGAATCCAATTCTTGTAAAAGGTTCACTTCCACGAATGTAGAGTAGTAGTCTACAGTTAGAAGATAATCATATGATAGTATATGAAAAATGTCAGATCCTACTATTTCATAGGGGCTTTGTGGTACTTCGGAGCATATCATAGGCTCCTTTGCTTGGGCTTTAGCATGGCGCTGACAAATGGCGCACCTCTCAACAGTGTCTGCTATATGCTCATTCATGCCAGGCCAAAACAAGATATCACGTGCACGTCGTCTTGTTTTCTCTATTCCAAGGTGAGATTCATGGAGGGCTTCTAGCATCTTTGGTCGTAATGTGGTAGGGACGACTATTCTAGATCCTTTGAGAATGATGCCATTATCCACTGTTATCTCTTCTCTAAAGTTCCAATATTGCTTTAGGTCATTGTCACAACATTTTCTGTTATTTGGCCAACCCTTTTGTGTTGTATGCAACAACTTTTGCAAAATCACGTCATTTGCTGTGGCCTGTCTCATTTCACTCAGGCGTTCTTGGGAAATCGGGAGATTATCAATGGAAGATATTTCATATATTTCCTGTGTAGGGTCAGGGTCATGGATAAATGCGCGACTGAGTGTATCAGCAAGAAATAGTTTATTTCCTGGTACATATTTCACATTGAGGTCGTATTTTTGCAGTTTTAACATCATTTTCTGGATCCGCAATGGGGCGGTGGCAAGAGGTTTGCGGAACAGACTCTCGAGTGGTTTATGGTCGGATTCCACAGTAACGTTTTTTCCATATATGTACTGGTGAAATCTTGTCGCAGAGAATTCGATTGCTAGCATTTCTTTTTCGATTTGTGCATAGGACTTTTCTGCAGAAGTAAGCGACCGTGACGCATAATGAATGGGGTGTTCTTCCTGCCACAAGGTAGCGCCTAGGCCCTCTGATGATGCATCACACGAGATTGTCACAGGCAGATTAACATCGTAAAATCGGAGTACAGGTGCTTCAGTGAGTTTTGTTTTGAGTCTTTGAAAACATTGTTCATGCACTTCATCCCATTGCCAGGGGATGTCTTCTTTTAACAGGTCGCGTAGTGGAGCATTCAATGTTGACAAATTTGGTATGAATTTACTGAGATAAGTCACTGATCCCATAAACCGACGAAGATCCTGCTTAGATATTGGAGTAGGCATTTTCAGGATGGCCTCTATTTTGCGTGGATCCGGACGTAATCCTTCGGCACTGAGAACATGACCGATGTATGTCACGCTTGATTGGGCGATTTTGCACTTCTCACGATTTAGAGTTAAGTTCATAGCTTTGGCTCTTTCTAAGACAGCCGTCAGTCGATCATTGTGTTCATTCATATCCCTTCCATAAATCAAAATATCGTCCATGATTACAGCACAGCCCGGTATGTCGTCAAACATTTGGGACATTTTGGCTTGGAAAACTTCAGGCGCACAAGATATACCAAATGGCATTCGTAGGAATCTATAACGGCCAAATGGCGTATTGAATGTTGTCAATTTCGAACTTTCTTCATCTAACGAGACTTGATAGAATGCTTGACCGGCGTCTAGGGTTGAGAATACTGTGGCTCCCTCTATTTTGGCAGAGACTTGTTCAATTGTTGGATATGGAAATTGTTCCCTTTTTATGGCTTTATTCAGGTCCCTAGGGTCAAGAACTAGGCGGATTTTCCCTGGTTTTTCCACAATTAACATAGAGGACACCCAATCAGTAGGCTCAGATATAGGGGTGATAATGCCACTTGACTCCATTCGCGAGAGCTCACTTCTGACAAGCTCTATTTGGGAATAAGGGACACTTCGAGATGGGTGGATTACAGGCGATATATTGGGATCCAGGGTGATATGGCATTCCCCAATGTGACCTAATCCCGAAAATAGGTCATTGTGCTGGTCGAGAATTATTTTGGGATCTTGCGATGTTATTGAATATAATGCACTGATCAGCCCCAGCTCTAAACAACTGCCCAGGCTGAGGATTGGCTCACTATATTGGTCCACAATCATGAAGTTCACCTGGTATTCATGATTATTGTGTGATATGGGGAGGGTAGTTTCACCGCGACAGGGTATTTGATGGCCGGAGTACGAAATCAGTTTTCTGTCAACTTGGGATATGGGTGGAGGGCTTGAAATATTTTTGTAGGTCGTATATGGTAGTGTATTGCACTGCGCACCAGTATCTAATTTGAAGGAGACGTTGCAGTCATGTATACTGGTATGCAGAAACATCCCTTGACTGGAACACGAAGTTGACGAGATACTGTTAATGAAGAATGCTTCAACATCTTCTTCCTGTTCTACAGTATGTACTTTCTGACGATTGTATTCTCGTTTTCGGCATTTTTGAATAAAGTGGTTCGATCGCTTGCAATAATGGCACTGTTTCCCGAATGCGGGACACTTTGATTTGTCATCTGGGTGGGTCTGTCCACAATTAGGGCACTCGCTACTACTGGTTGATGCTAATTTGGAGCTATTCATGCCTGACCTTGACTTTTGATAGGTTGCATCAACTGCTGCAGCTTTTCGGAATTCAGTCCTGTGTAACTTTGAGAATTCGGCAGACTGGCACATTTTAACACATAGATCAAGTTTAAAATCCTCTACTTGCTGTGATTTATCCAACAGCCGAGATTGTAATTGTTCATCAAGGATACCAGATATTATTTGATCCCTGATAAGAGATTCTTCCAGATCGCCAAACTCACAATCTTTGGCTTTGAGGCGTAAGTCAGTAATGTATTGGTCCACCGTCTCACCTTCTTTTTGGTGACGCTTGAGAAAATAATGTCTCATCATAGTAATGTTTTTTCTGGGTTCACAGTAGGCACTGAATTTTTTCTCAACATCCTTGAATTTTGTTTTGTCCTCTGCATCAGTGAATGAGAATGAATTATATATCGGGATACATTCCTCCCCCAAACAGTTCATATATATAGCAAGCTTGACTTCTGAAGATTTTTCATTCTTCTCTGTTGCAGTCAAATAAAAGTCAAAAGATTGCTTAAATTGTCTGTAGTTTTCTGCCAGATTTCCAGAAAGTCTCAGAGGTTTTGGTTTAGAGAAT